CGTTTCTAGAGATCCCAAGCTGATTTTTTTATGGGTTGTAGCCTAGGCCATGTACTATCCAACGGCGAGACCCCGGCCCGAAACGGAGCTGTATCTTAGGAGAAAATCGACTTGGTTTTTCAAAGACTGAAGGGTCTCTAGAGACCCAACGGTTTAAGATATCGAGCCAAAAATTTTACCACAAATGTAACTCACTAAGGTGCATATCTGTACAAAATTTCAGCTCAATCGGCCCAGCCGTTCTTGAGATATCGATCGATTGGTACCCCGAATCCTTATTTTGGCAATTTTGCGGATTTCCGTAAAACCCTTATAAAATCCGAAGGAATCAATATTTTTCAAATCGGCTTGCGACAAAATTCATCAAATACCTTCCTCTATAACATATAAAAAATTGAACAAAATCTGGGGACCCCCATGGCACAACTTATGTCGTGGCTTATGTGGAATGACTCATATATAAAACATTCTTCTTGACAACAAGCTCCAGACAGCAAAAATATTATTATTTTTTTTAAAAACAATAACAAAATGAAATTACAAATTATTTTTATAATTCTTACATGTATGATACAGGTCAAATGCCACGCTATGGGAAGTTACAATGAAATAGGAACAAGTAATTTACAAATATTTATACATATATTTATGTATGTATCAATTTTGAATTTTAGTTCTTCGAAATCTTTTTCAAGAATATTCAACAGCTGATTGTACGAAATATGCAAATGACGATGAAGTTTATAAATCATTTCCATTTGAACTTGATTTTAATTCATCAAAAAGAAAGTCTTCAAAAACTTATGCAGAGAAAAATGCAAATGGGAATATTATTGTGTTAAATATTAACAAACAAGAATATGTTCCACCATCGGTTTTTTGTTTAACAGAATTACAAGAATTACATATACAAAGAACAAAATTTCGTACGTTTGATCTTGGATTACCAATTGCAATCGAACGTTTAGCATCAACACTCATTAATCTAACTATTTCTGATACACCTATTAGTTATCTTCCTGAGCAAATTGGTAGATTGAAACGTTTACAAGAGCTCAAATTATTGAATACTAGCCTTAGAAATCTTCCCAACTCGATTGGTAAATTATCATCATTAGTTCATTTAAATTTACGTGGTAATAAGTTAATATCATTACCATCAACTATTATAAATACTCATTCATTGCAAACATTGATATTAAATAATAATGCAGATCTTCGATCTATAGAAGCTCTTAATGGACATTCCACGCTAAAAGTCTTGCAAACAGATAATTGTCAAATTGAACGTATTCCTCTTAATTTATCAAAATTAACAGATTTAAAGATGTCCAACAATAGTCTTACAGATCTTTCAAATATTCATACATCAGGTGAGAAAACAAATAGTAAAAAATTGTTTTTCTTTGACAATAATTCTATTCGTTATTTATCACCCCATATTCGTCATGTGAATAATCTTCATATTCTCAACCTTAATTGCAATAAATTATATATTTTACCATTGGATATTTACGAAATTACAACACTACGATATTTATATATACAAAACAATAATTTTAGTGAGAAAGATCTACAAGAAACGATTTCCAGATTCCATCGTACACATCCAAAATTAAAACTTTATTCTTCACCCAGAAAATCTTGTTAATTCAAGACATCGACATTTTTTTTGCATATATAGAATAAATTAAATTGACAATATTATATTGATAATTATGAAAGTCTATTGTCTTTATATCACTGTTTTGACATATAGGAATTAAAAACAATTGTATGTTATATGTTAAATTGATTTCAAAATACTAAGGAAGTGAAATATATGAGTAAGTAGAATGTAGATAGAACCTTTGCGTTATGTGCTCTTTCATTTTTGGGGAAGAAAAATAAATTTTTTATTGAGTAATAATAAACAATTTCTAAATGGTGCAGCCGTATTAGGTTCTTTTTCGATTGATTATTTTATATCGAAAGAAAGCACTTTTTGTATACCTTATGGCATATACTCTTAGTTTTCACGCATTTAATATATGGCAGTACGTGCTGATTTTTCCTTCTTCGTGATATTAACAAAACGAGTTTTTACTAAATAAAATTTAATCGAAATAAGCATTCATATATTGGTTCAGATGTAGGTGAATGTCGGTTGATTCAAAAAATCACACCTACGCCCGCATCTGAAATTTATTTGCTGATATTGTAGATGTTCGAACAATTCGGACAAAATAAAGTAGCGCTATTAGTTCAATTCAGTTAAATTTAATATAAACTCTTCTGTTCAGCTGCGATATTGTCATTTACATTGAAAAAATTTTCATTTTGCATTGTAAGTGAATACTTTAGTAATTACAATTGTCATAAATTTAGTCCAAATCATGACTACTGATCTATTAATTTGGACGTTCTATATTTTATTGAAGGACTTGAATTACACAATCATCATCGATAACAATTTGATCACTTACAATTGTAATCGTAATACATATTAGATCTAATTATATTCTTCCTTCTTTCTATAAATATGATTTTCTTGAAGTATGAATGTTACTCAATATATCTCTATCGATAATAATTATACCGACAGGTGCTATACAGATATATACTAATTTTATTTCATGGTAATTAAGAGTAAAAGAGAACATGAATCCATATAGTAAATTGATATGAATTGCACAATGTGCACAAAACTACGAAAAAAAACAATTTTCGTCTTCATCTAAAAATAAATTACTCAAATTGATCGAGAATAGAAAATAAAGAACAACATATTAATTATATATAAAACATTTGTATTGTATACAAGTGAAGAAGATACGAACAAAAAAGTAGTCGAACCAAATATTTATCATAAAACTCAAAAAAAATACGTACATTAATCATATATGAAGTTACAAAGGATGTCTTTAATTAAAATATTTCTATTTCTATTCATCTTATCAATTTCAAGTAATTTTTTTATCTTTACATTATACTCTTTATTGATATGATCAAATTTAGGTGTCGATAGTCGCACTCTTCGTCAACGACGACACATGCCGAGAAATCAAGTGGGTCAAGATGTCAATAATTATATGACAAATGGTTTTAATACAATTCGTGACACTGTAGTTCCAGTAATTAGTTCTACTGCTGATCGTCTTTCTCAATATTGGGATCGATACAAACAGAATGTTAATCAAGGTATCAATCAAATTGGTCAAGGCTGGGATCAATACAAGCAAAATGTTAATCAAGGTTGGAATCAATTTACACAAAATTTCAATCCACAATATCCACTTTATGATCAGAGAAACTATGCATATAATCGTAAATGATCAATTTATAGCGTTTCTTACTTTTCTTTCTTTTTTTCTATCTAGAGTATGGATATAATCCTCAACAGTATCCAGTAAACAATAATTATAATATTCCATCAAATATGTATCAAAATTACAATGGTGGACGACAAGGAAATCCATATGTAGCAAATAATAATTATAACTCGTATGGAAATGTTCCATATAATACAGGCAACACAGGAGGACAATGGTATCGAAGTTTTGGTAGGCAACAACAGGTTAATGGTCCTATTGTACCTTATCCACCTATGTATAATAATCAAAGACAAGGATTACGACGTTAATCAATATTTAACTGACAATAAATATTATATTATACAATATGAATTATTTTTCTCATTTGAAAACAATCATCTATACTTACTATTTTTTTTTAAATATTTAATCTCAATTAAATACTCTATTATAGATATATACTCAAATTCTATAGAATTATCAAACTAGAATTCTAAATTCATTTGATATTTCTATATCCAAGAGATATATCAAATACTATCTTAAGTCTAACTTTTCATAATCTGTTTATTTTGCATGTTAGTTAAAATCTTTCCAATAAAATATTCCAGAAATAATCTTTTATGACTTTTCTGAAATCTCTCAGCCATTATAGGTGTTAGAAACTTGCAAATTTGTATATATATTATCCCTCTAGAATATACATCAAAAGCAAAATTTGATTGCTTAAATACAAAGAGAATCATGAAAGATGTCACTCATCATATTGGGTAAAAAGCAATATAAATTGAGTACACTCTATTTCATTTATTTTCTAAACAAAACGTCATAAAATCCGATTATAATTTGGATTTTGTTGCCCAATGGTTCTGTTATAATTCAAAAACTTTTATTGAAAAAAAGAAACACAATGCAAAACAAGTGCCGTCTACTATAATTCTGTTGATACTTAAGTAATCAAGATAGAATTACATCTTTAATATACAATCAAGGCGAGCTATGTCTACACAAACTTTCAATCATCTAGGGTCGGGACTTTGGTCCACAACTGTATAATTGAATTAAACTTGTATTTTCAATAGACAGACAAAAAAAACAATTTAATATTAACATTACCAACTAAATAAAGACAGTTATAATGTTATTGTATTATTAAATATATGTGAAAAATACAATTAAAAATGCATAGTTTTCATTTAAATAATCAAAACTTGTGTCGTATAAGAAATAAATTAACCCTTTCAGGACCGTGGTACAACATATGTACCACCTACCCTCGAGGGGGGTCCAGGCTTTTTAAAAAAACAAATTTGTTTTAGTCGCGGTTAAAAAGATAGTTTAAGAATAATACACTGATCGCGAAAGCAATCTCGTTTGAAAATATAATCACAATCAATAATATTTTCAAATAAATTGTGCATATCGTGAATATTATCTTTATCCTTGAGCGTCGTCGATAGGTAATATTATATTCAGTGTAGATAAAAATCTTTATCAAATATATTTTTTTATAAGCTATTCATATTTGTGTGATTATTAAAAAAGATCTGATGTTATTGCACTATATTGAATACTAAATAAAATATCTATTTATAATCATAAAAGTACAGTGTACTCTTATGTACTTACTCATTAAACGGAAGAAAAGAATCGATAGGACTAAAATACATTTTAATATACGTAATAATGACAAAAAAAGATAAGCACATGCAAATATATTATTTAACACGTTGTCTCAAAAAAAAGAAGAATATATTTCTGTATAAAGAAAAATATTTTTTTATACGTTAGTTTTCGATTATTCTTTCTAATCCAGTTTCGTATCGATTAACAAGGACGTTGTAAAAAAAAGTTTTTTTTTTCATTCATTTATATCAATCCGGCTTTTAATCGATTCATTCGTATGAAATCACTTCTACAAAATCTATTACTTTCTTTTTTTTTCATATTCAATTTCATTAGAATAAAATAACTTTATTTCTTGTATATAAAACCTGACGAAAAACCATATGTAATTGATACCAATGGGACTGTTGTTTTGTTTTTCGCTTGAAGCATGCGTCAACATGTAATGAGTAAGCAATAACAAAAAAGCATATTATGAAATAAAAAGAAAAGAAAAAAAAGAAGAGAAAAAAAAGGTACTATTTCTCTCATGCTTATTCTCCTTACGCATAATGCGAACGTTCTGTACATCGTAAAAATGTGTTTCGTATCGGAAAAAGAAAACGTTTATTTATTTTTAAAGGTATATAGGTGAGACGCATGCATGCTGACAAAATAATAATAAAGTAAACTGTCGATACTGACTTCAAATTCCCCCTACTGTACATAAATTATTCTTATTTTTAATTACACAAAAAACGAAAAATTACTCGTCAACACGTCTACATGGTAATGGATATATCGTCATCGAATGAAATACTCACTATTAACAATAAACAAAATAAAGAAGATATAACTCTTATTTGCTTTGATCCAAATAATGAATTAAATTCGAGCATAGAAAATTTTGAAATATTATTACATGAAATAAATAATTATGTTATTTTTCATACTGAACTTCAATCATGTATTACTTATATACAATCAATAGAAAATGAATATATATTTTTAATTGTATCTGGTTTATATGCTTCACAAATCTTACCTGAAATTATTAATCTTAAACAAGTAAATCGAATATTTATATTTAATCCAAACGAAGATTCATATGAAAATTCAAAAATAATTCGTATTTATGATCAATTTCATTTATCAATTGAAAAAGAAATTGAATTTATTAATCAATATTTCTCTACATGGTGTTATTATGATCATGATGATTATAAAACAATAGACTTAACAAAACAATCAAGTAGTTTTCTTTGGCTTCAAATTTTACATGATCTTATGTTATGCTTACCACATGATCAATATGCTAAAAAACAAATGATTAAGACATGTCGTGATTATTATCAAGATAATAGAAAGGAACTTGAATTAATAGATACATTTGAATATAAATATCAATCAAAAGATGCGATTGATTGGTATTTCAAAAACTCATTTCTTCGAAAAATGATTACGAAAGCATTAAGAATTGAAGATAGTAATCAACTTTATTTATTACGATATTTTTTACATGATCTTATTAAATGTCTTATCAATAAAAATAAACAAATTGAAGAAAAATTATTTGTTTATCAATATGTACAATTAACAAATAATGAATTTGATAGATTAAAAGAAAATATAGGTAAATTTATTTCAATGAAAACATTTTTTATAGCCAATCGAGATCGTCAATCAGTATTAACATTTGCAAAGAAATCTCTACAACATTCATCGGATCGTATTTATATATTTTTTGAAATCGAATGTAATATAGAAAATTTTGTTAATATTGAATCTTCATCTCAAGAAACAATTTTATTTGATTTAAATACAACATTTCAATTACAATCTATTGAACAAAATGAACAATTATGGTTTATTAAAATGATTACAGTTAATGATGGAAATCTTATTAAAGAAAAATATATTGATGATATACATAATCAAATAGAAGATTTAAGTATTTCAATTATTTTTGGTCGATTATTATCTGATATGAGTCATTGGGAACAATCACAAAAATATTTTGAATATTTATTAAATAATCCATATAATGAAGATATAGCATGGATAGAACATAGTCTTGGTCAAGCCCATCATTGGAAAGGAGAATGGAATAAAGCAAGAATATTTTATGATCGTGCTTATGATCATATGATGAAATCAGAAGTAATTCGTATTAAAGATTCAGCTGATATTTTATCTAATATTGGAGAAATATTACATATGGAAGGTAAATATGAAGAAGCACAAGATACTCATCAACAAGCATTCACAATTCGAAAAAAATATTATCCATCGAATCATGCACATATTGCTACAAGTTTAGAAAATATTGGATTAATCTGTCATCAACGATTAAAATATGATGAAGCCCTTGATTATCTTACTCAAGCATTAATTATTCGAGAGAAATATTATAATTCATATCATATTGATATTGCTATCAGTTTAACTAATATTGGTTGTATATTTACTGATCAAGGAAAGTATAGTGAAGCTTTTGATTATCATCGACGAGCAATGGTAATTTATAAAAAATATTATTCATCAGGTCATGTATTTATTGCTTCCACTCTTAATAATCTTGTTGATGTTCTTTATCGACAAGAAAAATATGATGAAGCATATCATACAGTTCAACAATCATTAGCAATGCAAAAGAAATTTTATCCATTGGGTCATATTGAAATAGCAACGAGTTTAAGTAATATAGGAAATATTAAATATGGTCAAGGAAAATATAATGAATCATTAGATTATCATAAACAAGTATTAGCTATACAAATGAAATATTATCTATCTGATCATATAAGTATAGCATGTACTTTAAATAATATTGCTTATATACTTCTTAATGGAAAAGAAAATTATGATCAATCTTTTGATTATAATCAACGAGCACTTACAATCCAACAAACATATTATCCAACATTTATGGGTCATATAGCACAAACACTTATTTATATTGGAAGTAATTTAAGTAAACAAGGAAAATTTGATGATGCACTTGATTATTATAAACAAGCATTAAAATTACATGAAAAATATTATCCATGTGATAATATTAATATTGCACATAGTCTTGCTAATATTGGAAATATTCTTAGTGATCAAGGTGAATATGATGAAGCACTTACTTATCATCAAAAAGCTATAATAATCTATAAAAAATCTTATCCATCCGATTATACATATCATGCAAGTAGCTTAAATGATATTGGTAAAATACTTTATCGTCAAGCAAAATATAATGAAGCATTTAAACATCATGAAAAAGCACTTGATTTACAAAAGAAATTTTATAATTGTGATAATGCACATACTGCAAATAGTTATAATCATATGGGTATTGTTCGATATGGTGAAGGAAAATATGAAGAAGCTATTGAGTTTTATCAAAGAGCATTAGAAATTTATGAAAAATATTCATCATCACGTCAAACAGATATTGCAACCATACTTAGTAATATTGGACGTAGTTTTAATCATCAAGACAAATATGAAGAAGCATTTGAATATCAACAACGTGCATTAAATATTCGAGAAGTTCATTCTCCTCTAGCTTATATAAATATTGCTGATAGTTTTAATCATATGGGAAATATTCGTATTAATCAAGAAAATTATAATGATGCTATTGATTATTATCAACGAGCATTAATTATCTATGAAACGCATTATTCAACACGTTATTCAGATATTGCAAGTACACTTAATAATATAAGTAATGCCTTATATAAATGTGGAAAAGATGAACAAGCATTAGATTATCAACAACGAGCATTAATTATTCGTGATAAATATTTTCCTTCGGGATATGCTGATATTGCTGTTGGTCTTAATCATATGGGTAATATTCGAATTAATCAAGGTTATTATAAAGAAGCACTTGATTTCTATCATCGAGCATTAGTTATTTATGAAAAAAATTTATCATCTCGTCAAGCTGATATTGCTACGACATTAAGTAATATTGGTAATGCATTACATAAATATGGAAAATATGATGAAGCATTTGAACATCAACAACGTGCATTAAATATACGAGAAAATTCTTGTAAATCTGCATATATTGATATTGCTATTAGTTATAATCATATGGGTATTATTCGAATTGCTCAAGAACAATATGAAGAAGCTATTGATTATTATAAACGTGCATTAGCTATTTTTGAAAAATATTCTCCGTCACGACAAGCCGATATTGCAACAACAATAAGTAATATTAGTAATGCTTTGTATAAATGTGAAGAATATGATGAAGCACTTGAATATCAACAACGTGCATTAAATATTCGTGAGACTCATTATCCTACAGGTTATATGAATTTAGCTGATAGTTTTAATCATATGGGAAATATTCTTCGTGGTGAAGGTAAATATGAAGAAGCTGTTGATTATCATCATCGTGCATTGGATATTTATGAGAAACATCTTACTTCACGTCATGCAGATATTGCTGTTATATTCAGTTTAATTGGAAGTAGTTTAAGTCGTCAAGGAAAATATGATGAATCATTTGATTATTATAAACGAGCATTAAATATTTATGAAAAATATTATCCTAATGATCATTTTGAAATCGCTCGTTATTTACAATGGATTGGTTTAATTTGTCATACAAAGTCAGATTTTGATCATGCAATTGAATATTATGAAAAATGTTTACATATTCGAGAAATAAATTTATCTAGTGAACATCTATCGATTATTGAAACACTTTCAACATTAAGTGATTTACAACGAATACGTGGTCAACATGAATCATCATTAATACATGAATTAAAATGTTTTTTAATACGTGAAAAAATTCTTCCACCAAATCATCAAGATATAGGTAAAAGTTTATCGATTATAGGCGATTGTTATGAACGTCTTCATCTTCTTCAAATTTCACTTGATTATTATAAACGAGCTTTAAATATTTATGAACAATGTCTACCTGATTCACATCTAGATCGACAACTTCTAGGATTTAAAATTGAACGACTTACCGAAGAAATTGATGAAATTGATATTTAAAAGTAAAAAAAAATATTTCAAGTATATTGTCTTTCATTGTCATTTTAATCGATGACATACTTTCTTGTAGACTTCGAGCAATTTTGCTTCGTACAAATTTTTATTATTGTTTTATAAAACGAAATAAATATATTTTATCTTCATCTCAATTTAATCGTTATGCAAATCTATTTTCAGGAAGATCGAGATATTGTTTGATTTATACGAAGCATAAATATATTTAAAAAATTTGACCAGTCTGGTCTAGTAAACATGTAGCGTAACTTTGCAAATATTATTCAGTCGCTACTATTTTATTGAATACGATATTACTCAACAGTTACAGTTTGTATTCTTTAGTTGTATAACTTCCAAATAAATAGACAAGTGTGGTTGAATCACGACTTTTTCAACATTAATCTTTCGTTCTTTTCTTCTTATTTGAAAGAAGATAACAAATAAATATACTATATCTCTTGCTTTCACTTTATCAAAAAGAAATAAAAATAGAATGAGAATATAAAGACTAGACTCTATCTTTATTTCAACTTGTACGACACGAAAAATTTAACTTATATACAAAGGATTTTTATTGATAGCAAATATATCTTTTTACAGAAACGATTAATAAATAATGTATTTTCTGTCAATATTCATGTTAACTGTTATGATCACAACAGGCATGACAACAACAAATATTTTACAGTATGATTTACGTCCTTCAACAAAATTGTCACTTGATGATATATATGAATATGCTCATTTACTAGGCGCATTAAGTGGACTTGCAAATAGAGATATGCCTAGATTATTTACAATCTATACTGATTCGGATTTACGTTGGTTGTCGTACATGAATTCAATTAATTGGCCAGATGATGCAAATTATACTATCGTAACATCGATTGTTGATCTTGTTCAACGTTTATCTGATCATATAAAAGGTGTTGTTCTCTATGATCCTAAAGTTCCTGCAACTTCCAATCTTGCATCTACCGCATCAGGTGTTTATGATTTAATACCTATTTGTTATAAACCCACTCCTAATTCCTTATATACTCAACTTGTTGAACAAGGTCCACACCTTTCAATTAAATTAAATTTTGTAGGCATGTTCGTAGGAAATATTACAGGTAGTGCTAAAACAGATGCATATATATGGGCAGCAGAACATTTTTTGGATAGTAAACTTGCCGATAGTACTTATCTGGGATACTATATTGACAAATGGTGGTCTCAGTCTCCTAAAGCATCAGAAGTTATTTTCGAAAATTTAGCCGTCAATCATGATTGGATTATTAAAAATCGTGGGTTTGTATTTGACTTATCGCCTTGGGATGATGAAGCTCCCAATGACGATCCTAATCAACCATTAGGAAATGATTATAATACACTTATTAAATTATTACAAAAAGCATATCAACAACATAATGGAACAAAATTTAGTACTGTTAGTGGATTTGTACCTTGGCTGTTTAAATATGTCGATGAAAAACATGAAGGTGTACCATCTGAATGGCGTATGGCACATGTCATGTCTGCATTTAATATTGTCATAGATGCAGATGCTTGTTGTGTAGATACATTTGCTAATGCTGCTTTTTTTAGTCATTATGCATTAACTCAAACTAAACATCGTTTTATTCAAAATTCATTACCATCTCGTGAACAACTTATTCAACAAGGACTTATGAATGAACAAAATATTGTATCTAATAGAACATATATTTTATATTATGGTGGAGATTATGATTCAGCAGCATGGGTAGCTAATAAATTTAAAAATCTTTGGGATGATCCGAAACGAGGAAGTGTACCAGTTGCATGGGCTATTAACCCAAATCTTTACGATCGTTTTCCATTATTACATTCATATTTATATGAAACTCGTACTAAAAATGATTTTTTTGTAAGTGGAGATTCTGGTTCTGGTTATTTAAATCCTACTCAATTATTTGAACCAAGAATGTTTTCTGGTTTACCTCATGCTGATGATTTATGGATTGAAAGAAATCGTTATTATTACAATAAATTCAATATAAAGCATACAGGTTTTGTTATTAATGGTGATGCTGGACCATTAACTAATAATTCAGATTTAATGTATACGAAATTTAGTCCACTTGGTTTTACACGTCAACAAGGCTATACAAAACTTGGTGAAACTGCATTAATTCCTGGTACAAGAGTACCGAGTTTTACTGAAACAGATCTTGCTGATAATAATGAAGTACAGCAAGTACTTTCGTATTATAAACCTGGATCAGTCAGGTTTGTAGTTTTTCGTGGTGTCCTGCGTAGTGCAACTAATTATGCAAATATTAGTGAAAATGTTCAGAAAATACAACCGAATATTACATTTGTTGATCCTTATACATTTGCTTTACTTGCTCGAATTTATTTAAGTAGAAATGACTCGATTAATAATGATCTTGTTTCTTATGTTAATGATAATCTACCAGAAATAGTTAATAATGGTGATCTTATTACAGTTAATTTCTCAATTCGAAATGAAGGATGGAATATATTGAATAATCTTTCTTTGAAATTAATATTTGCTTGTAATTCTGAATTTATATTTAATTGGAATACAGAAATCAAACATGGTAATATTGGATCAGCTACTTATCAATTTCAAGTTGAATGCAATCAGCCGGGAGAATATAAAGTTATCTATCAACTTTTTCGAGGTAATACATCATTTGAAGATTTTGGAAATGTACCATGGATAAGTTCAGTAAAATTAATTTAATTAATTTTTTATTTTTTGTAATGTTATTTTTGTCTTTCGAATGCAAACTTGATTATACAAAAAAAGAAGTTCTGTAACAAGTTTTAATAGATTAATATAGTAATTAGCATTTCAAAACGTATAAAATCATTATTTAGATAAAAAGTATTGTTCCACAAGCTATACGAGGACCAGCATTCCTATAAATTCAATGAAAATAATATTGAAAGAAAAGTAGGAAATAAGAATAAAAATACTAACCCAGTGGTATTACTTTCACCTTTGCCAGTATGACCTCCATCATCTGTCAAATTATGAATCATGAGAGGTAAACCAAGTATTAATATTACCTATATCACCAACATGACGTTGCATAACTGGATCTTGCGGCATTCCGTGCGAAGCATCTATGATAATAGTTAATATGTTAGAATCATCATTATATTCAAAACGATTTCACTTACTGTAAGGATTGAAATGTGCACCACCTGCTGTACAATTATGATTTGCACCAGTAGGTTGTGAATGAATATGAAAACCCTAATAGAAATTTAGATTATTGAAGATTGATTTTCTACAAAATGACTATAGAATTTTTAAATCTATTCGAAAAATCTTGATTAAATTTAGAGGAAACAATCCTGATAAATCGTTCTGTGTAAGCATAATTAAGTTTACTATATTCTGGAAAAGAACTATCTACAATTGTTATTTTTCATAAACTTCTTTGATTTAATAAATTCGAATCACTTTTGTTGATCTGCAGGATATGTGATCAACCAACATGTCTATCGCAACTTTTTTACTTAACTGATTATCTATTATCTAATATTAAATTATGTTTTCATCAAACTTTATTTCTTACAGTATAATGAAATATTTTTAATCATTATATTGATAGAAGGACAAAAAAAAGGATTTTGTATATATTCATACTCATATGTATCATTATATTGATTTATGTTTTGTTTAGAGAAAGAAAATGTACTGACGGTAATATTTATATACAAATATGAAGGTTAATAATAATCAAGACTATACGTTGACAGATAAGGCCATTGACATGATTGCCTCCGTCTATTGAAATCAATCAATCCTGAATATAAATAAAATTTTCTATTTTGAAACTGTTAAGATTTAATAATTCATTGTATTTTTATTAAAAAATGACTAGAACATGTTCTCTACTGAATTTCTTGTTGAACATGTCATTCATAATTCATATTCATTCTGAAGTTAAAAAATAGGAGAAATTAAAAAGATTTTTTGTTAATAAAAATATGTATTTCTTCTCATCAATAACGTTACTCAGCGGAATCTATCGGTAACAACTTCTGTTTGTTCTTTTATTTACACGTTCTCTTTTTATTTTATATTGTAACATCATACTTTTATCTATTTCTATCTTATTTAAATGTCTTCATCCTCCACAACCAGTAGTGTACCATCTATTTGTAATGAACATTCTCTTGCTCGTATAAATAGTATCATTAAACAATTTAATTTGATTGAATTACCACGCGAAGGTGGTTTATATCAACTAATCGATCAGTCTTCTATCGAAGTATCTCTTTCATCCCAGTTAAAATTACATGCTCAAAGTCATATTTATTATATGTTAACATATTCACGTCCAGATGAACCACAATTAGCACATAACTATTTACATTCAATAGAAAATTCTGATGATTTACACATATTAGTAGAAGGTGATAGTGTAGACTATTATTTATTTTACGAAGATGGTCATGTTGAACATAAAATCTTAGGAAATGATTATACTGCTGGAGAAGTACCAGTTATATCAACTCCAGGTACGATTAGTTCCAAAGCTTTGAAATTAAGACCTGGAAAAAATGGATTTGCATTTATTGTAAGTGTTATAACCCCAGAATGGACACCTGACAGATGCAAAATTGGTGCTGGACAATCGTTTCTTGACAAATATATCGGAAAAGAAGAATGGTGTACAAAAGAATTTCTTACCGAGTTAATTGGGCCTAATTGGATGGATAACAATATATAAAATTATATTTATCAATTAGTAATAGAGCAAAATATTCATTATACTTTTTATTTAATATAATGTAGTAAATCTATTGCCCATTTAAAATAAAAATCGGATGCACATTTTTTTTTTGAAGAACTACGATTTTCACCATTGAAAAGACACGATGAAACTACTTTTCTGAGAGTTTTAGGCAGATATTTTGAAATGCACAGTAAGTGAATAATCAACAACATCACAACTACTATCGATGACTCCGGTATTCGTTTATTGTTGTTTTTTTATATATCAACTAGTGTTAATTCTTTGTATTAAATAAAAAATTTCATTATCACCTATTTTTACTTCTATATCATCAACGATAGGTCTGGATTGAATTTATCTCCAGGTCATAAATAAGATCCAATCTTAAACGAAAAATCAAATTAAATTTAATTGACTATTTTTCCACATCTAATTTAATCTTTAGATTAGACTATGATGTAAATATGAGTAGGCATACAGATGAAACGTGAGTACAATATCCACATACACCCACATCCTCAAGATGTTATTCGTTCTGTCAGGTATTTAGATATTTTTACGAAGGAATATAAAAATAAAGTGCTTTCATATATATATATTATATTACTTGCATCTATTCTTTCAACTTAATAATTTAACCGCCAACATTTTCTATTTAATATAATAACAATATTTTTTATTTTGTATACTATCACTTAATTTTATCTTATGTTAACATATATACTTTTGGTGTTATTTCTTTCGCTTATGATAAGAAAGATAAGTAAAAACTATATAATGTTGTCATTATTATTTTTATTTGAAATAATGTCCAAACGTCGTAATAGTCGAAGTTCACGAAAATCAAATGAAGAAAATATTCGACTTGAAGTAACATATATACATAAATATATTTATTTTTTATTATTATTCTTTGATAGCATACATTAGAAGGTAATGAAGATCCAATATATAATGCACCTAGATTGTACAATGGTAAACCTGTTATAAATATATCTGAACGTCGTTTTGGTCCTCCACCAATTAATAAACAATCTCAACAATATAAAACTCATCTTCAACAAATGGATTATATTAATAAACATAGTGAATTAAAACCAGTATTCGATTCTATTTTTACACATAGATTAATGCAAACTGTGCATGGTGATCAAGGGCATCCAAATGTACCATATCAGTAAATATATATATATATATTTGAGAAAAAACCGAATTTATTTTATATTTTAGAGATATATATTTATTAACTTATGATCAAACATTTATTCATGCTTATTTATTATTACATGAAAATAGTCATGAACATTATACATATTTAATATGTCATGGAATAAGACATCAAATAGAAGATTTAAATAAAATTATCGATAGATTTTATAATGATTTTGGTAATGTTTTAATAATTGATTATCGTGGTTTTGGAAACTCATCAGGAAGACAATCGGAACGTGGTGCTTATATTGATGTTCAAACAGCTTTTGATTATTTATTAACATTAAATGAAATTGATTCGAAACGAATTGTTATCTATGGTGTTAGTATGGGCGTTGCTTTAGCTATTCAATTAGCAACTGAACCAAATAATTCGGAAAATATTCATGCATGTATTTTAGAAAATGGGTTTACATCTGTAAGAAAAGAAAGATTTATTCTTTTATTCAATTAGAATTTTATTATATTTTTAGTTTAAAGATGCAGCAGCTGATCAATCGACTTTTGCGTGGTTTTTACCATCGAAAATATTTTCAGTTGGAATGAAATCTATTGATAAAGTTCATCAACTTCATGTACCTGTTATGTATTTAAGTGGATTAAATGACCGTACGATTCATCCAAAACAAACAAAACAACTTTTTCAAGCAACAACGAATTCAAAACATTGTCAATTAGAAGTAAAATTTTGATATCAAATTTTTCATTTAAATTTATTTTTTGTCTAATAGATTTATGCAGATGCAGGACATACAGATGTTAAACAAATGCCTGATTATATAAAACGATCTTATAAACCATTTATGAAAGCAGTATGGAAAATTCAAAATCCAGATCAAACAAATCTTCAACCACCAATTCTTGTTACTGATCATGGAAAACGTCGAACATCGAGTGTATATGAATGTACAGAACAACAAATACAACATGTTCAATCAACTAATCTTTCATCATGTTCATGCTTCCATTGAAATAAATAGTTTCTCTTTATTTTTTTTTTTGGGAAGAATTAAATTTGTAATTTATAGATATTAATATTTCAATAAAATGATGTAACATCGTTTGTTAAATTATGGGAAAGCGACAATTGGTCATGAGTTTATTATAGACAAAGGGAAGATTTAACAATTGTATTTAATGAAATAGAGTAACATGCAATTAAAGTCTAATTAGATTTGAATTATATGCAAAAGGAAGAGATACAGAGATGATCAGATCTGATAAATAACTTATGGGATTAATTAAGTTTATCAGAATATTTCTGAAAAAAACTCATTTCGAAATAAAAAATATTTGGATTGTAATTAATCTTTAAAGAACTTGGTATTATATCCATATTTAACTATTCTTATGCAACTAGGACTGGCATACTCTAATTTTTTTTGATACATGTATGGTTTTAGTGTTATTTAATAAATTATTCTCTTATACTCGCTTTTTGCGCACGATCAATTTAGTACTTGAAATCATACAAATACTTTAGTTCTCGGAGATTCTCTTGCTAAGATGTCCGTAGCGAAAAAGGCAGTATGTAATGAATACAGGATTTCTGTCTTCTTATATTTCGACATCTTTTTTTACATTTTATTTCATAAAATTAGACAAATAGAGTCTTCGGTGAGTGATGGCATAGAGTAGAGCATCTGAAAGCGTACGACATATTTTATGATCTATCGATACCACATTTTTTATTTTTCTCAGCCAAAACTGTTCTCAAAGATGATGGTTAACTACTGAATTATTTTGTCAATATTTGTGTAGATCGACAAAGAAATATGAAGTTTTAAATCCATTTCATTTTAAAAAATAATTCAATAGAATTTATTGGATGTAGTATGTTTTTTTTCCTCGTTTTATAGTTTAAATTCTCTCGTTAATAGACATAGTGAAGAAGAAAAAGGAAGGATTGCGCGTTCGATTGGATGGGTGCTCCGGCAGGGATCGAACCTGCAACAGTTTTATCCTCAGAAAAACAATCTACCATTGATTTACAAAGCGAAGTAATCGAACATTATAGCCTTCCTCCACCAATCATGCCAATAAAACAACATACTTAATTTGCATTGATATTCAAGTTGTGCAATTACATACTACTCATGTTCTCCTCTCGATTGTCGAACCACTGAGAAGTTATTAATTATTAAATATTCATATCCCCGTTGAATAAGTCTAGATAAATTTTGAATAGTAATCAGCTTAGTTTATTCAGTGTGATGGAACTATTTTAAGTATGTTAGTTTTAACCTTAGAATGGAATTATATTAGAATTTCTCTCTATTTTTCAGGCAAAAAATAAAATGTGACAAGATTGATAATAAAAAAATTTCAGTGAAATCGGTCAAAACCCTTCTTTTCAGACGAGCACGAGAATTTATCTTAAACTTAAAAATAGAGTATCTGAAAGCTTATGGCATGTTTTTTGATAATTAAAAACCTTTCTCATATATGATGGTTGATCGCTGATTGGTTTAGCGAATATTTGATAGGTTTATCATTTCTGATATGATCTCATATTATTAATTATCTATATATTGTACAAATTTACTCTTAATTCATTTTTACTTTTTCTCAACAATGCAAAATCTTTTATATTAATTTGTTACTTCAATAATTGTACGAAAATATATATATTTATTGAATATGGAATTTATAAACTATTATATTAATTTCATTTAAAAAATTCAATAGATTTTTCTTGTCGTTAATAGACATAATGAAGAAGAAAAAGGAAGGATTGCGAGTTCGATCGGATGGGCACTTCGGCGGGGATCGAACCCGCAACAGTTTTTGTGAAAGAAAAACAATCTACCATTGATTTACAAAGCGAAGTAATCGAATATCATAGCCTTCCCTCACAAATCATACCAATAATTCAACATATTTAATTTGTATTAAAATGCATGTTGTGCAATTACATACTACTTATGTTCTCTACTCAAGTGTCGAACCATTGAGAATTCAGTGTAATGAGATTATTTAATATGTTAAACAAACGGATTCTTTTTAAAATAAATTAATCTTTGTTTCTTTTTATGTTAATAAAATCTAATTAATATCTTTTTTTATTATATTATGAATTTGTTTTTTTTTCAGAAATTATCAAGTTCTTCGAAACAAATTCATATAATTCATAGAGCAGAAACAGATCGAAGTCATACTTTCTAACGTTCGTTTTAAAATTAAAAATGAGTGCGTATTTTTTGAAAAACAGATGGAGATGCATTGAAATATCCCTCGAACTTTTTTCTAAGACTGTTAGATAAAACTTTTAGAAAAAAAAAATGTCTCTCATCGACAGTATAACAATTTATTGATTGTCGAGAAAGTTCTACAAACGTCAAAGAGATATTTCGATGTGTCTTCGTCGCCTCCTTTCGAAGGTTATTCAAAAAGTACGCACTCGCCTTTTATTTTAAAATGCGTAGTAGAATAATTATAAACGGAGATTATTTTTAAACGAAAGAACCATCTAGACCAAATATTATTTTTTGGTATTTTCAAAAATATGAATTAATGTAAAGTATTTTGATAATAATACTGATACACTAGCAAAGATTCTTTTCTCTCTCTTATAACCCTTGATCACTCTTTATTCTGCGAATACAACTATGTAATCATACGATATAAGCACGAAAGAGTACACGTGATATGTATGAGTAGAAAGGGTAATAATATATCTATTCCTCAAATATGTTATGCAATATCTAATAAACAGTCATAATACACTCGTTGGACTTTTATTTCTACTTATTACGTGTTGGTATCAGTATTTTTCTATACGTGCTGCGATGCATAATACACTTTAAGTATAAAAGGAAAGCAAACGATCATAAACTATCATATACATACTCATTTCATTCTTATTACTGAATAATTACAAGCAGTCGATATGAATACCCATATTGTTTGGCTTTTTATATCAATCTCATGTATTAATGTATTTTATAATGTTCAACAAGGATTGTCAGCAGCAGCTATCGATGGTTAGTTAAATTTACATTCTTAATTTATTATTATTATTATAAAAGCAGTGTTGTATTAAGAAGAATTTATTCGAAATTTTTTGTATAGATCCAACTGAAGAAACAACATCGACTGAAATGACAAGCACAACAAGTGAAACGGATATTGTAGAACAAGGTTTGTTTGTTGAGAATTCTCGATTGGACATAAATATTTTATATGAATGTAAAATATATATATATTTTTTTTTTCTAAAATTATTTTTAGGTAATTTTACGGGTTCATGTTGTCTTAAACGTGATCCTTTGGAGGTTTATATTTATTTTTTCTTATTAAAAAAAAATATCTCATTTTCTTATTTTCAGGCTGGTGCTCAACCTCCATTCGAATCAGATGAACAAGATTATCCAGGTCTTGAAAGTAAAATGAATCCAAGACCCGATTTCGGCTATAAATCATACCATGGTTCGGGCAAACTTAAAGGCAAAGTAGCTATCATAACAGGTATATACTCTTTTTTTTCCTCTTCTCATCTACAAATCAATTAAAGAAAAAAAAATTATTTTAACTATAATATTTATCTACATTATTCAAGGTGGTGATAGTGGAATTGGCCGTGCAGTTGCATTAGCATATGCTCGCGAAGGTGCTTCAGTTGTCATTTCATATTTAAATGAAACTGAAGATGCAGAAGAAATTCAAACAATTCTTCAGGGTGAAGGACATGAATGTCTTTTAATTGTAAATTTTTATTATGAAAATTTACATGCTCTACTTTTGTTTTTTTCTATAGCCTGGTGATATAACTGATGAAGCTCATTGTAAGAAGATTATCGATCAAACTATAGAAAAATTCGAACGCATTGATATTCTTGTTAATAATGCAGCTTATCAAGGCAAAGAACTTGTAAGTTTATTAGAAAATTATAGATCAATTAAGAATTTGTTTTTTGTTTAAAAGGAAAATTCAATTGAAGATATGAGTCATGATCGAGTTTTATATACATTTCAAACAAATATTATATCCATGTTTGATCTTACACGTTATGCTATTCCTCATATGTCCAAAGGTTCATCAATAATTAATGTTGCTTCTATTCAAGCGTAAATTTAAAATACAATCTGATTGATCAATAAATATTTTAATTTTTTATTTTTCTATTTCAGTTATAGTCCAAGTGCAGGAATTCTTGATTATGCCACAACAAAAGCTGCAATTGTTGCGTTTACAAAAGGTTAATTTAGTTATACGAATTCTTTATAATATGATTATTCGTGTATATTTAGGTCTTGCTGAAAAAATGCTTGAAAAAGGTATTCGAGTTAATTGTGTTGCTCCTGGACCTGTATGGACACCACTTATAGTTACAAGTTATTCGAAAGAAAAAAGTTCACAATTTGGAGCAAATGTAAGTTTAGACAAAATATTTGATTAGAATTAAAATTTAACGCGTATTTATAAAATTTCTTTTTTTTCATAGTCTCCAATGAAACGTCCAGCACAACCTCGAGAATTAGCACCAGCTTTTGTATTTCTTGCAACTGGTAAAGAATCAACGTATATTACAGGTGAAATACTTAGTGTTACAGGTGGTCGTATAACTGCTTAGGAAAAATATCAAGTGCTAATTATCACATTAATTAATCCAGCTGACATGAAATTTGGTAGTTTTAATTTTTGCTTTTCTTTTCATTATCGATATTGAAAAAAATAAAACTTTTTGTGTGTTATATATAAATAGAGAGTGAATTTCTTTGTCAATGTTTTCAAATAAAATTAATTCATTTTGATTGAATATTTTAAAAAAAATATGGTATAATATACTGAAATAGTTAAATATTGCTAGTCGTATCGATTCATACAGTAATTTCTTTTAAATCTATGAATATTGTTGAAATAAACTAAAGTCTATAGAGACACATGACGACACTTATAAAATATTTCATTTTATTTGACATATATTATATAAAAGAAGTTATTATCAGACAAAAAACGAATGATGGCAATTACATATTTTCATTATTTATTTTTCTTATCATATTCGATGTCAATGCAGATGATATGTCACATAAAATTTCATTTTTGATAATATTTGAAGTCAGATCAAGTTTTGTCAATGTCTACATCAATAAGAAAAAATAACGAAAAACAAAACTAATGATATTATTACTTGATTTGATTTTAATACATTGCATAAACGTCGTCCACCTTGATCTCCAATTCGATTATTAGAAAGATTAAGTGATAAAAGTGTCTACAGTAATGATAATATAAGATAAATAAAAAAAAGAAAATACCTCTTACTTGATTTAATTGTAACGCAGTACTTAAACAAGTGGCTCCTTTATTTTTAATATCGTTTTCTGACAAATTTAGTGTCGTTAGTGCCTATAATAATGAATTCAATATGAAACAAAAAACAAAAAAATATTCCATATTAACCGTATTTAATTTTAATATAGCACTTAGAAATCGTGCTCCTTCATTTTTGATTTGATTATCAGAGAGATCAAGTGTTGTGAGTATCTATATAAAACAAAAATAATTTTTATGAAGATAATAAAAACTAACTTGTTACTTTGTTTGATTTTAATCCAACACTTAGTTCTGATATTCCTGTATCTCCAATTTGATTGTGAGAAAGATCAAGAATAGTGAGTGTCTATATATTGAAAAGAGAACTAAAGATGAATATGAAAATAAATGTTTTTTTTGTTCACTTGATTTAATTGTAATCCAATACTTAAATGACATGCACCTATATCTTTAATCTGATTTCGAGAAAGATCAAGTTGTATAAGTGTCTAAAATGAAAAGAATATTTACTCATATAATTGATCTGTCAACTATTTATATGATAAGTATAGATTACCGAAACTTCGACAACTGTCATATCAAAAGATATTAATTATACTTAAGTTATGCAAATGTCGTGACGAGAGATACTGTTTTTTCTTATAAAAACCTTCAAAAAAATTATTTTTTTATGGATGAATACAGTGTCTTTCATTCTAATTTTCTAACCTATTTCATCATACTTTAACGAATATTATCATGCGAAATTTCCAATAAGATTTTTTCTCTTGTCATTTATACTGGTAGCAAGTTTACATTTCTCTATTAACAATCAACATATACCATCAGATACAGTATGAGAAGCTGCACAATTGACATAAAATCTCTTATACCAGTTTGGAAATTGTGCTGTAAAACGCAATAATTTATTATGTGCTATCAATCACAAATAAGAAGAAGGAAAGAAATCTTATCAAAAACTTCGCACGTTAGTTTATAAGAAAAAACAGTACCCCTGTCATTACGTTTAGATAACCGTAAATATATAATATGCGTTTGAGGAAAAAAGTGGAATATAAAAAAACTAATATTTAATTAATTTACTTTGTTATTTTGTAAAGCATAATGACTAACAATCTTCATATCTGAACAACTTAGATTTTTCGAAGTTAAATTTAACTCCATACGATTTTCAGGATTTGTAATAATTTGTTCAAGATCACTTTGATGATCTTGAAAAAACCATGATATTAAATCTGACTCTGAAAAATTGAAAATTATATTTTTAATAATTTAGTTGAACAAAATTATAAGTATATGTTTTACCTCTAATTTCGATATTTGTTGAAAGATTATCAGAACTAAAATAGAACTAAATAAAATTCTATATTTATAATGCAATGATGATAATTACTTGTTTGTATTATTAATTATTGATTCAATTGACGAAAAATCAGCCTTAAAAGAAACATAGTAAACATTTAGAAAATATATATAAGAAAAAATAATCTAGAGAACCTGTTCAGTATTATTATTCATAGATTGATTTGTATTATCTAATACTAGTTGACAAATATTAGTATCCATGAAATGAATATCTTCGATTGATTCTGTATTTATCTAAATAAAAATAAACAATAGAGAAAACTGAAATATAAAAAAATGAATATCTCACTAATAGATCAGATGCAATTTGATCGATGTCTGACAAAAGAACATCTAAAACAAAAGTAATGAATTACTCTAAGTTTTTGGAAAACAAATCAGTATGATGTTGTTATCAATACAGAGTTCAATAGAGCATTGACTAAACTGATATCAAAAATTGATGAAAATTTAACTCATTATATCTCTGCAGTATATAAATGAACAATATCAAGAAAAAGAAAAATATCTGATTTGCTCTCATTTAACAAAAGCTATGTGCAAGTTTATTGGTATTAGTCACAAACTATTCAATTATGCTACTTAAGCAGTGTTGTTAATACTTACTATCTGTTTCATTATTCATTAAATCAATTGTCTGTTGATTTAATTGTTCTATAATTTCAGCATTTGTTTTTGGTATAATTTTATCAATCGAAGTGAAACTATCGACTATAACGTTTGAAAAAGATAATCTAGGGCTTAATAAATCAATTTCGTTATTTTTAGCATTAGATACTGTAATCATTGTTTGACTATTGAGTGAATTATAGAGTTTTTGTGCACGTAATAGTTCATCTCGAGCTTTAGCCAATTCTGATCCATCAATTTCACGTAATTTCAATTGTGTCATTAATATCGAACGAACCTTTGTTTCCATTCGATCTTTCAAAGATGATTTCCATTGATCTTGATTCGTTTCAATATAACTATGAAGTTGATCAAGTTCCACTTGAAATTCTTTATATTTTTGTTGAATTTTATCGATCGTCGTTTGAAGCCAATTGTTTAATTGTTCTTCACAATTCTTTCTGCCACTATCAATGTTTAATGATGGTATTTCAGTAATAAATTCCTATAATAATGAAGAAAAAATCAATTATTTTAACTAGATTGAAATATTTGTAATGTTGAAACATTTATTTCAAAATAGGAGTTGATAAAGATGCATCGAAACATTTCTCAAACTAGTTTTCTAAGGCTAGTATACAAAGCTTGTAGAAAAAAAACAGGATATTTTATAGTAAATATTCTTTTTTAAAACTTTGAAAAAGAGTAATAGGTTTGATATTTTGTATATATGTATAACTAGCCTGTGTTTCATCTAATAAATAATTAATTTCTTCTTTCACATCTTCTTGATGTAGTGAACCATGCTCGAGACAAAATATAGATGAACAATGGGAGCATTGATATGTGCCCGACTTATGACATGTAATATCATCATTCATTGATATTCGATATTGACATTTTTTCATGTTCATTTCACTATGTTCTTTATCTGTAGTTCTGTTTGCTGCATCATTGCGTATATCTAAAATAAAGTCATTTTTTTCGTATGTTTAAAATTTATGTAAATGAATAATATTCCCAAATAATCGATCATCCATATAAAACGATTGTGATATATTTACCTCTCGACGCGTTAGCCATAGAGGATCTGTTAATGTCTGATCCGTCGAGAATTATAATACCATCTTGTAAAGGTTCTGATCTTATAGAAATCGAATCCGTTGAAATATTCTGTTGTGATGATGTTTGAGAATCATCCACTAATATATGAAAAATACCGATAAGTTTGAATAGATAAAATTGAAAGAACAAGAAAAACTTACAATCATCAAAAGTAATGGAATCTATACGATTTTTTCTAGAATTTTTAGTTGCTCTCGCTATTGGTGAATTGACAGACGATTCTGAGTTTTTTTCATTTTGACTGAAATGTCTTTTACATAGACCCTCTCTAGCAGCATACTTCTCACAATTGTTGGCAGCGCAAAGTCGTCGCCATTTGCATCCATTAAACTTTCTATTCATAACAACAACTTCGACTTCTTCCGCTTGTTGTCTCATTTTTTCTCTCAAATGTCGACAACATAAACCATCTCTTTGAACTTGATTCCCACACTTATTCTTAGTACAGAGTATTCGCCAATTTGCACCATCGAATTTTCTTTTTGTACAACTAACTTTAATGCTTCCCGTTAATTGTTTTTCATTTTCAGTCTCCATACCATCTTCTTCACATAAATCATCTTTTTTGCGGTATTTATCATAGCCTCTAATACGTGTTTTCATTTTGTGAGTAATAACCAATTCATCCATTTCGTTGAAAACTGTTAATATAAGATGTATTAAATCTAAAATAATTATTCGATATATTATTATATCATTCTATTGTATGAATGTTTGAAAGTGATATGTTTCATTCATATAATAGTTTTATAAGTTATACCATCATACATTCGTTAAGAGATATTTAAAATATATCCGACTCTTTTTTACTTAGCTCACTTTTCATTCTTTATTTCTTAGTATATGTTAGAGATATTTGGATTTCCTAATTTCTTTTTATTGCATATGCTTAATCTCGATGAAATATAATACATCTAATGAATATTTCCTATATGTCATGTACTCTGGAATTTTATATACAGAAACAAAATAAAATTCAAATATATATTTATCTCGTCATCATCATTATCATCTAGCCGACAATTTAGAACTCGACCTCTCTTCTAATTTTGTATTCTAAATTATTATTAAATAAATACACATAAATTTCAAGGGGATATGTGCTTTTGTGTAACAATAGACTAGATATCGAGATAGTCAAGTTAACAAATAATACATTATTTTTATAGATATATTAAAAGATTTAATATTCATATAATGAATATTATAAAATATATCTTAGTTATTTTTTGGCAAGGACTTAAACAAATATCAAAGTAAAATAAATACGCAATAACTAACTATACTATGGTTCAAAATTGTTAGATTTTAATTAGACGACAGAGAGGTCAATACACTTAATCTCATAGATAAAAGTTCACTTTTCATTATTAATAGCATTCTATTCTATATACAGGTCTTACCCTCACCTTACCGTCAATATAAAGCGTCACTTTTTTCTTTCTGTTTCTTTCATTTTCTAAACAAAGTAAAATTTCACGTGTTCATATGCATGACTAGTTACCAATACATATAATCCTTTTTTTCGCTTGTTCTTCAACATATATCCATATACAATGTATAATATGTTTTATTCGAATATATCTTTAGATGACACCAATATAAGACACCATGAAATTATATTCAGTGAGACAATGGTGAAATAACAAAAAAATTGAACTATAAAATAAGAGATTCTATGTCAATTGTAGAGCTCCTTATACAGTAAATGATGGCGTATTTTGATTGTTAATACAAAGGTAATAACAACTTGACAAAGAAATAAATCTTATCGAAATATTAATTCAAGTTAGATGAAATAGTATACAAAAATTGAGTAAAAAAGTACATCTGTCACTACTTTTTGATAATCGTAAATAGATATAGATGACGATCATAATCATCGCATAGTATTTAATAATGATGATTTAGAAAGTTGCAATGAAAGTATACGATAATATAAACTTGTAGATAGATATGTAATAGATTAACAAGCAGTTTTGTAAAATTTTAATTTTCAACAACATAATGGATTCATGTAATTCATTAAATATCGATGTATGGAAATAATTGCTAAGCAGTCATTTTGACAACATCAAAAAAAAATAATATTTGATCGAAGAAGAAATATAAAATATTAATTATGGATCTTGATGGATTAGGTAAAACAACGATTGTTTATAAATTCAAATTACATAAAATTGTTGAAACTATTCCTTTAATTTATTTTAATGTAAAAACTGTATATTATATAAAAAAGTTAATTTAACATTTTTGGATATAGGAGAACATATTGCAATTCATCGTTTAAGTCGACAATATTTTCCAAATACACAAGCATTAATTTTTATTATTGATTTATATGATAATTTTCGATTAGAAGAAGCAACAGAAGAATTATGGAGTTTATTGAGTGAAAATGAACTTAAAAAATTACTTTTATTAATTTATCTGAATAAATATTATATATTTTCATTATTTATTTTTTTTTATCATATTCGATGTCAACGCAGATGATATATCACATAAGATTTCATTTTTGATAGTATTTGAAGTCAGATCAAGTTTTGTCAATGTCTACATCAATAAGAAAAAATAACGAAAAATCAAATTAATCAAAGTTTTACTTGATTTGATTTTAATGCATTGCATAAATGTCGTCCACCTTGATCTCCAATTCGATTATTAGAAAGATTAAGTGATAAAAGTGTCTATAGTAATCATAATATAAGATAAATAAAAAAAAGAAAGAAAAGATCTCTTACTTGATTTAATTGTAACGCAGTACTTAAACAAGTGGCTCCTTTATTTTTAATATCGTTTTCAGACAAATTTAATGTCGTTAGTGCCTATAATAGTGAATTAGATATAAAATAAAAATAAAAAATATTATATTTATTAACCTTATTTGATCGAAGCATAATACTTAGAAATCGTGCTCCTTCATCTTTAATTTTATTTGCAGAAAGATCAAGAGTTGCGAGTATCTATACAAAACAAAAATAATTTTTATGAAGATAATAAAAACTATTTTGTTACTTTATTTGATTTTAACCCAACACTTAGTTCTGATATTCCTGTATCTCCAATTTGATTGTGAGAAAGATCAAGAATAGTGAGTGTCTATATATTGAAAAGAGAACTAAAGATGAATATGTAAATAAATGTTTGTTTTGTTCACTTGATTTAATTGTAATCCAATACTTAAGTGACATGCACCTATATCTTTAATCTGATTTCGAGAAAGATCAAGTTGTATAAGTGTCTAAAATGAAAGAAATATTTACTCATATAACTGATCTGTCAACTATTTATATGACAGTATAGGTTACCGAAACTTCGACAACTGTCATCTCAAAAGATATTGATTATACTTAAGGTTATGCAAATGTAGTGACGAGAGATACTGTTTTTTTTTTTATAAAAACCTTTAAAAAAAACTCTATTTTTATGAATAGATAGAACATCTTTCATTCTAATTTTCTATTCTATTTCATCATACTTTAACTAATATTGTCATGTATAATTTTTAATAAGATTTGTTTCTTTGTCATTTATGCTGAGAGCGATTTTACATTGTTGTTTTCGAATCGTTAATACTTCTCTATTAAAAACCAGCATATACTATCGAATACGACATGAGAAACTCTACAACTTACATAAAATCACTTATTTTATATTTCCATTTTTTGTTTCTTCCAGTACGAACAATATTTTGAAAAAGTAAACTGTGATCTCAGAGAAAAAATAATTTTTTCATAGATAATGAACCCATATATTGTAATTGATTTTGAAAAAAAGCAAACGTCTATGAGACTAAGTTTTGTAGCATAAAACAATCGAATAAAAGACGCTTTATTTATATAGAAAGAAAGCAGTATCTCCGTCACTACGTTTGAATAAACTTAAGTATATAATATATATTTGAGGAAAAAAGTGAGGTATGAAAATAATAATATTTAATTAACATACTTTATTATTTTGTAAAGCATAATGACTAACAATCTTCATATCTGAACAATTTAGATTTTTTGAAGTTAAATTTAATTCAATATGATTTTCAGGATTTGTAATAATTTGTTCAAGATCATTTTGATGATACTGAAATAACCATGATGTTGAATTTGATTCTAAAAAATTAAAAAGTATATTCATAATTATATCTAATAAAACTATCGGTTTATATTTTACTTTGATTTTCGATATTTGTTGAAAGATTATTGGAACTAAAATAAAACTAAATAAAATTCTATATTTATAACACAATGATTATATTACTTGTTTGTATTATTCATTGTCGATTCAATTGGAGAATAATCAACCTTAAGAGATACATAGTAAATATGTTATAAGATGTACATAAGAAAAAAAAGTTTAGAAAACCTGTTTATTATTACTATTCATGGATTGGTTTGTGTTACTTAATACAAGTGGAGACGTATCAGAATCTCCAAAATGATTATCTTCGATTGTTTCTTTATCTACCTATGCAAAATTAAGTAATATAGAAAATTGAAATATTAAAAAGTTAATAAGTTACTAATGGATCAGTTGTGATGTTATTGATTTTTGACAAAGCAACATCTAACTTCGTAATTTCAGCATTCGGTTTTGGTAAAATTTCATAGATCCAATTGAAACCATCGACTATAACGTTTGAAAAACATAGGCGAGGTGTAAATAAGTCGATTTCATTATCTTCAGCAGTAGATGTTGTGATTATTGCTTGACTATTGAGTAAATCACAGAGTTTTTGTGCACGTAATAGTTCATCTCGAGCTTTAGTCAATTCTGATCCATCAATTTCATTTAATCCCAATTGTACTAGTAATATCGAACGAACTTGTGTTTCCATTCGATCTTTCAAAGATGATTTCCATTGATTTTTATTCATTTCAATATAATTATGAAGTCGATCAAGTTCCATCTGAAATTCTTTATATTGTTGTTGAAGTTTATTAACCATCATTCTAATCCAATAGTTTAATTGTTCTTCACAATTCTTTCTACCACTATCAATATTCAATGATGGTATTTCAGCAATAAGTTCCTATAATGAAGAAAAAAATGAGTTATTTTAACTAGATTGAAATGTTTGTAATGTTGAAACATTTATTTCGAAACAGAGCGTGGATGAGTATTTTTCCAATACGTTTCGATAGGAATAAGATGAAAGACTACGATTTCCATCACTGAATAGAGTTGATGAAGATGCATAAAATCATTTCTCTAACTACTTTTCTATGACTACTATATAAAACTTCTAGAAAAACAGGATATCTCTCACCGATAGCATATCAATTTATTTAAAAAACATACCCACTCGTATTTTACTCTGAGACGAGCAGTTATTATATTTATAGTAAATATTCTTTTTTAAAACTTCAAAAAAGAATAGTATGTTTGATATTTTGTGTATATATATACCTAACCTGCGTTTCATCTAATAAGTAGTTAATTTCTTCTTTCACATCTTCTTGATGTTTTGCACCATGTTTGAGACAAAATACAGATGAGCAATGAGAACATTGATATGTGCTTGGCATATGACATTTTTGATCATCATTCGTTGGTATTTGATATTGACATTTTTTCATGTTCATTTCACTATGTTCGTTATCTGCAGTTCTCTCTGATGCATCAGTACGTATGTCTAAAATAAAGTCATTGTTTCGTATATTTAATATTTATGTGAATGAATAATATTCCTAAATAATCTATCATCGATAAAAAACGATTGAGAGATATTTACCTGTCGACACGCAAGTCATAGAACATCTGCTAATGTCTGATTGTGCAACAGTTGCAATACTATCCGGTGGAGATTCGAATTGTGCAGAAACCGAATCTGTTGGAAAATTTTGTTGTGGTGGTATTGTTTGAGAATCGTCTACTAATATATGTAAAATACCAATAAGTTTGAATAAATAGAATTGACTGAACAAGAAAAACTTACAATCATCAAAAGCGTTATGTTCTGTATGATTTTTTGTAGAATTTTTATTTACTCTCACTCTTTTTGATTTGGCAGATGATTGGGGTTTTTTTGCATCTCGTGGTGTATGCCTTCTACATAGACCATTTTTAACAGCATATTTATCACAGTTATCGCCACTGCAAACTCGTTGCCATCTACATCCATTAAATTTTTGATTCATATGAATAACTCCGATGTTTCCTACCACTTTTTGTTGTCTTCTTTTTTCTGTAAAATGTCGACAACATAAATCATCTCTTTGAACTTGTTTCTCACAGTTATTTATAATACAGAGTTTATGCCATCTCTTACCATTGAATTTTTGTTTCTTATGAATTAATGCAGTACTTTCTATTAAATTTTTCTGGCTTGTCTCCATAAAATTTTGTGAACATAAACCATCTTGTTTACAGTTTTTATCACAGTTATTGATAGATATTATCATTTTATCAGTAGTAACCGATTCATCCATTTCGTTGCAAACTATTAATATAAGATATATTAAATCTAAAATAATTATTCGATATATTATTATATCATTCTATTGTATGAATGTTTGAAAGTGATATGTTTCATTCATATAATAGTTTTATAAGTTATACCATCATACATTCGTTAAGAGATATTCAAAATATATCGACTCGTTTTTACTTAGCTCACTTTTCATTCTTTATTTCCTAGTATACGTTACAGATATTCCAATTTTCTAATTTATTTTTATCATATATACCTAATCCCTTTCAAAAATAATATATCTAATAAATACTTTCTGTAAGTCATGTTGTTCTGTAATTTTGTATAATAAGTAAAATATAATTCGAAAATATGTTTATCTTGTCATCTAAACGACGATTTAGAATTAAAACTCTCTTCTAATTTCGTACTCTGGATTATTATTAAGTGAACACTTATAAATTTTGAGAGGATATATGTTTTTGTAGATATATTCAAAGATTTTATCTTTATATAATCAATGTATGTTTTTATCTGAATGAATATTTTAAAATATATGATGGTCGTTCTTTGGCAAGGATTTAAACAAATATCAAAGTAAAATAAACGTACAATAATTAACTATATTATCGTTTCGAAATTGTTAGATTTTAATTAGTCGACAGAGAGGTCAATACACTTAATCTCATAGATAAAAGTTCACTTTTCATTATTAATGACATTCTATTTTATATGCAATGCTTAACCTCACCTTACCGTCAATATAAAGCGTCACATTTTTCTTTCTGTTTCTTTCATTTTTTGAACAGTTCAAAAATGTACATGGTTGGTATGCATGAGTAGTTATCAATACATATAATCCCTTTTTTTGTTTGTTCTTTGATATACATTAATACATACTGTACAATATGTTTTATTCGAATATATCTTTATATGACACCAATATAACAAACCATGAAATCATATTCCGTGAGAGAACGACAAAATAAAAAAATGAGTTTGTATAATTATGGTTCTTAATTTTAATCGAGTTGAGACTTTTTTCAGTAGATCTACGAAAGAATCAACTTTTAACCATTTGTAGGAGAACAATATCTATGCAAGTATGACATTTTCTTTGATTTTTTCCATGAAATATACGCATTATAGAAAATCTAGAACACTTCAAGGGACATCATAAGATTTTTGAAGATATAAATAGATATGCATGAAGTCTCTGTTGTTTTGCCCTCTAGTACAGCTATTTGAAAAAAAACTAAGACTACTGTTTTCTCAAGGCGAGCCTTATACGACATAAAATATTCAGTAACAACATCACACACATCTTTAATCTTAACGAACACAAAAAAGGCCGCTAAGAAAATAAATATTTATTTACAGAACCTTTGAAAATACATGATAGTTTGAGAGAAAGATTTCGATAAATAGAACTACTAGTTCGCATATCAACGAGTGCAAACAGAACCAACTCATCGTTATTTATATACATAGTTATTTACTTCCTCAATGACTTCCATGTATCCATAAATATGATTATTTATTCACCATTTTGCATATATATATCGATAATGATAGTCAATCGTAAATTTATTTTGTATATAAAATATAGTATTTGAATTATATTTTCAATAAAAAATAAAAGTTTCAAAATGTAATTAAGCTGAACATGACAATACGAACAGTTAATCATCTATGGAATTTCTACAATTTTTTAATAGAAAAATGCAATAACTATTGATCTAAAATTATTGTATCATTTGTTTCCTATTGACTTTTTCATAAATGATTTCCTACATATATATCATCAATCATGTTCATTACATTAGTTCAAGGATTTATCAATTCTATTTGACGATCTTTGATTATAAATACACATATATATAATACTCATTTTATTGAAATACTCTTGAACAATTATAGAAATTATCGAAAAAAAAGCCTTGAAGACATTAGAAGAGGAAACCAAACATCTATTGTAGTATATGAACGAACGATAAAATATTTTTAACAAGAAAAGTACCTTACTCGCCGTTGATTAACAACTATTTGAATGCTGTCAATTAGAAACTAACAAGACACAAAAATCATAATTAATTGCACCGGATACAGTTACGATGAAAACTATTTAGTAATGTATTGAATAATAGTTAATAAATACAATACATTAATAAATATTCTTCTATCAAAATAATATCAATATAGAATAAGCAGAGAATATTATTAAAAGATTTTATTTCTATTTTCTACTGTCAACAATCAGTTATTACCAAGAAATGAATTTTATCAGTTCGACAATAATAACATAAACAAATAAAGAATAGATAAGTTATTCTTTGCTATTCACTTTTAATATCTATCGTCATAAATCGATTCATCTTCATGAAACTAATAGAAGCAGAAAAGAATAATAAATCTCAATATATATTACATAAAATCTAACTAAATTTATTTAAAAAAATACATGTCAAAAATCAATACTTGTAATAAATAATTAATATTTAAAAAAACTTTCACTAGATAATTATAAAAATATATTTGAATATGTAATTTGATAGTTAAAAGAACAAATGTCGTATGTCAAACTTATTTTACACATTCAAAGAAATCTAATATAAATGAATTACAATTAATCTGCATTCATTGATGTGTATAAATGATTGACAGATTAATATAAAAAATCACAATTCATATTTTTTTTTCTTAAAAAATTCCTATTAATAGACGAATTTTAATTAATACAAATAATTCTGTATGCTAAAAACATTACTTTTGAACTTCGTGCTTATTAAACTTATTATCATATTGCTTAGTATAAATGAGATACATCCTGTTATGATTTCCGGTGACTTTTTCTCTTCTTCTTTTAATGATAATAACGAGAATTGAACGATGAGTAGATCATTCTTTTTTTGTTCAATCGTTTTCTCACATATCTGATATTAATCGAATAAAGAATTCTTCTTATTATTATCATTTGTTTTTTTCTATTTGAATATTAAAACAAAAGAATAAATAAATAATTCCATTTCTTATTAAAGATATGTATTAAATTTCTGTTAGAAACTAATTTCAAATATAATTTTTTCTAATGAAATCTTAAAAGAAACTCATCAAAGACATATTTGTATATATATATATATATATAGATGTATATCAATGCATTTGCATACGTCAAAAATAGGAAAAAAGATGCTCCTTCGTTTTCTTCTTTTTCTCTCTCTCTCGAGAGGAATCGGAGAAGAAAGAGAGTGAACAAAATGAGATGATGATGCCGATAAAAAGAATGGCATTCTTTTCTGACCGAAAAATCACACAACTCCGACATTCTAACTAAAGAGAGACTATCATTCTTTGTTAAATAACGTAAGTATAGAGCAAACGTTTTTCTTTATTCTTAACATGATTCTTAAAGTCAAGGTATTCTCAACAAAACAAACTGTTGATTCTTTTCCGCTTTTATTAAACTTCTACGGCATCCGTTTTTTTCATTTATATATATATATAATTCAATCACTATTCTTATTTTAATTAGAAAACTAGATAATTGTCATGTATAATAATTCTTATTTTTGTTTTTAAATTCTAATTAAATACCAGATGTTTTCTTCTCTTCCTCTTATAAATTGTTTTCAATTGAAACATCTTCTTCATTTCTTTTTTATATCTAACAATTGTCAGATTCGGTCTATTTCCATCGAGAATGTCTCGAAACTATCCCACAATAATAATAATACAATTTTCCTTGAAAATCCATCTGTTAGCTGTCAATAACTTGATTATACTACAAATAGAGTTAACAATCCGTTACTTGTTTACAATAGTAGCATAAAATATTTTTTCGGACGAAAATACATCTTATTTTCTCGTATAAGTAATACCCAAATGACAACTAAAAAATGGGAATATAGTTAACCTATATATATATATAGATAGATATAAATATCGTTAAAAGAAAATAGAAGTATCTTGTTAATTCTTTTCTCGAAGACAGATTGTATTAAGACGATTTTTCTTCTCGTTTACTAAAGACAATGATGATCAAGATGTTTTTTTCTTTCTTTTGTCTACAGATCAGAACATATTACTATAGAAAAAGAAGAAGAAGAGAAAAAATAATGAAACGAAATTATTCAACTCAACAACAACAAAAAGAAAAGAAATAAAACTAACTATTGACTTGACTAACGAGGTCTATCATACCTCATTTTAATTCTTAGCCGATCTCATTATGAATCTTACAGCCGACGGCAGTTCCGTCTCTTTCTCTTTTCTTTTTTCATTACTATTATTATTTTGATTGTTTTCCTTTGCTTGTCAACCAAGCACATAGTTTTAGAGATATAAAGAGTAAGGCAACAAGAAAAAAAAATGAGAGACGGAACAGAAAACATAACATATAGGCGACAAATTTTCTTACAACTCTCATTTGCTCTTCCAGTTTATTTTTATTTTGTTTTTTGATTCTTCAATATATATATAACTATTGTCGCTATCATTTTAATTATTGGTTTGAAACGATTTTTGAATATTGATATACAAATGGTAACAAAAAAAGCCTAGTGGATTTATTGACCATTCATGTATGATTAGATTTATTTTTGTGTTAATTTTATGTCATGAAGTGTATATATTTTTTTATCATCTCAATTGATACATATTGTCTGAATACATGATAAGAAAAATAAGAGCGTAAAGAATTGGCAAACTATTTTTAGAAAGCGGAAATAAAAAGAACATGTAAGAGATTTAATAAGAAGAAAGTAGAGAAACAATACAAACGACTTTTGTTTCTTCCTACGTAAAGAAACAGATGTATACTCGATAGTTCACTTGTCCTAATATTCTAAAGAGAGATATCTATGAGTGGCAAATAACATTCAAGTCATGTTAATCTCATGAGACTTTAGAAAGCAACTGTAATAGATGAAATGGAATTTTTTTTCTTCTTCTTCTTCTTCCTTCTTTTTGACAGCAATCACTTACGTCAAAGCTTATATTTTAATATAACATCAATATAGATCACATTTCTTTTATTTTAAAAATCAATACTAATTTCGATAGTATAATTAATAAATTCACGTAAAAAAACAAACTATCTTTTTTTTCTTATTTGCAAAAACAAGATATGTTATCATTCTATAGAAAATCTCAAGAGAGAAATAATAAATTCTATTAGAAATAATCGTTTTTCCAACTGTAAAAATATTAATGAAATACCTTTTTTATTTAAGAAAAAAAAACAATTTAAATAAGTATATGAAATAATTAAAAATTGGTTCATCAACCTAATTTATGTTGAAATTTTTTTGAAAAGAAAAAAAAATCTTTCTTGATGTTTTTCATTACTTATTTATTTATTTAAAGAAAGAAAGGAAGAAAGAAAGAAAGAAAAAAAAAGATTATTTAATTATTAATATATAACGAATTGAACTTTTATACATTTGATTTAATAAACGAGAAGATTCTTTTTTGAGTACATTTATTTTTTACTAAGAGTAGAAATAAATGTAAAAGACATTTCTTTTTATCTAATAAATGAACAGAAAAGAAACATACTCTTATATATATTATGTGTAATTAATATAATGGAAAGCCTGAGTGTTAAATACGCTGTATGAATAACAAGTTTTTATAGTTATTTGCAATAAAAAAAGTAGAATACTATGTACTCGAAACGGCTATTTAAGATAGAAAATATTTATACTGTTGAATTTTGTTATTTCTATAATATTTATTCGTTTTCTTATTTTTCAGGAATAATAATGAATAGAAATTATTCTTTTTTACAAAAATGTTGGTGATTAAATTTTATTTATTTATTTATTTATTTTTTATTTTATTATGTAAGTTATATTATTAGTTCTTTTTTTGTTATAATAAAATAACTTTTAATTGTAATAAAATAGCTTCAAAATTATATACTGTCAATTCAATTCAATGTTGTGTAGGCTCAGATAATACATGTTCAATGACACCTGTTGATTGTCCTTCGAATGTTTGTTTCAAACTAGGTAAAATTTTATCGATTAATAATTTAATATCGAGATTTTCCTTTCTTTTTTTAAGTAATTAGTAAAGCATCAGAAGAACGTGGATGTATGAATGATCTTATTGCTTTAGTCAATGTACCAAATATCGGTCCTAATCCATTAAATGATGATAGTGGATCATCGAATGATCAATGTCAACAATCAGATACACAAGGAACTGGAATGTCTTTATGTAAATGTACTAGTAATCTATGTAATTCATCTTCAAAATATTCTTATTTCTCATTTCCGGTTATGATTTTAATCTGTTTTGTTGTTTATCAATTTCCTTGTATTTTTCCCTTATGATTATTTTCTGCATCGAATATATTCATTGTCATTTTGTTTGATCTATGATTATTTACTTTTAATTTTTTCATCGATAATAGAATATCATATAGAAATAATAAAGAAATTTTTAACTTATCATAAATTAAACTTAAAAAAACAAATGCATATGTAATCTATGAAAATTATATTACAAGAATTTCAATAGAAATTTTGATTGTTTATGCACCTTTGGTTCGAGAAAATAATTGAATAATGTCTACCGAAAAAAAAACTGATAGTATAATAATGCTTGTAATTGAATATTTTTGCTTGGGGGTTAAAATTAGAATTAAATAAGAACGGAAGTTGAATTGTAGAAAAATTATAGTATGATTATCTCAAGCATAATGAAATTTTCGATTATTTATAAGAGAAAAAGTATTCTTTATTAATTTTCTTCTACAATAGATTTTATTAAGATTTATATACTAATCGAAAATCATTTTTACGATACTCCATTAACTCTATTGAAAGATATTTCTGGTTGGTTACAACCAAATGTTGCTACAAAAAAATATTATCTCTATAATGGCATAATGTATCAATAATATCCATAGAAAATTTAAGCATCGTTTCCTATAATGTCATTCAGTATCTACATTAAGTAGTTTTTTAAAACTTTTTCATCTAATACAACGTCCTGTTCTGTTCTAAAAAAAAATGAATGAATTTTATATGTATTAAAGTTCTTATTACGCTCCTTAGAACATTAATTGTAATGTTTTCAAAAGGAATACTCAGATTAAAAGCAATGCTTATCTATCGTATTACTGTTATAAGAAAAAAATTTTTAATTCTTACAAACCAAAAAAAGTATAATCGAAGATTGTGTATTTATCGAAAGAATGTTTTTAAATATTTATAATTGTATAATTTATTAGAAAGTTTTATTCGTCTACTATAATACATCGGATTACTATGGAGTATCAATATTAATCTTATTGACTCGCAATATTTCTATGTAAATGTGATAGAATACTAAACGTATGGTTATATTCTCATTTAATTTCTATTTGCAGGGGTGGCGCGACCGGGGGAGGGATATCGGGGGTGTAACACCCCCCCCCCTCAATCTTCGAAAATTTCAATTTTTTGTTCAACAAAATCGGCAAATCTTCTTAGGTTTTTTGATCAAAGATGATGATATACCCCACAAAAATTCAAAAAATTTCGTTACACCCCCCCAATGTTGGCTGACTCGGGCCACCCCTGAACATCTCATCAAACAGTAAAGCTCATGGCCGTTCATATATTACATAATCAGTTTGATTTAATGTTAACTTTTATTATGTGGATAGTAAACAGTAAATACTCATATCCACTCGCGCTCGTGCACATATCGATATCGAAAATAGTCAAGTTACTTTTCAACAATTTTCAGAAAGAACAGTCTATAGAGAAAACGCAACCGATTGCTCGAATAAATTTTATTCTAATATCCTGACTTGAAACAGAAAAGGTGTCGTATTTTTTCTTTGACTCCTTCTTTTTTTTTGTACCAGTCAAACATTTTCAAAATCTTCTTATTTATCTATATCTGAATCGATGTAATTTAGTATATATTTAACAAGCTTACACGGTTTAGAAATACAAATACTAGAGAAGTTGCAAAAGCCGCATGAAACAACATATTTACATCTTTCTCTTTTTTATTCTCGATAGATTTTGTAAAAGATGAGTAACATTTCAATGAACAATACTAATATCATCGCTAAAGACAATCAGGCTGATATGATTGCTCTCATTAATCTTGTGAATCAAATCATTTCACAATATGGTCTAGGTCTTATGTGGCTCATTGGCAATACTGGATCGGCTTTAACTTGTGCTGTTTTTTATCAACCAGCTTTTCGCAAAAGTCCCTGCGCCATGTACTTCTTCGCTTCTAATTTTTCACAACTTTTCACTTTCAATTTGTCCGTTTTCATTCGAATGATCGAATACGGCTAAGGTATTAATGTTAACGGATCTGTCTGGAACTGTAAGATCCGTTACTATATGTTCTATTTGTTTGTGTCTATTTTTCGTTATATCATCATCATGGCTTCGATGGATCGCTTTTTCGCGAGTTCTCGGGAAGCTCGTCGTCGTGACTTGACATGGAACAATCGATATTTATGATCATCTGATCTGAAGATTTTATCTTTAATTTCTACATCATGTTGATATTCTATTATTTTATTTTTATTGAAATCTAAAACCATATGTTTCTATAATTTTTCATGTAATCAAAATACATGAGAGCATGCAAAGACGTTATTTTATGAAATAGAAAATGAAATAATAACGTTGATGTCTTTAGATCAAATATCTATACAATTTTTATTTGTTATACATTGTTTTATCATAATTTTTGCAATTCAAAAATTGTTTTGTTATATTAAAAGCAAACTATTTTTGATAATCTTTGTTTGTTAATATTACATCTTTCAGCATTCGATTAGTAAAAGAAAAAAGTAAATAAAGAATAGTTTAATAATGTTATGTTATGTGATAGTATTTATTTTTTGATCGTTTTGCAATAACTGAATCAGTAGTTGAATTGTCGATCATATTGAGGTATTTTTATGACTGTATGGCTTGTCGACAAAATATATGAAGGAGTATTGTTTTTTTTCTGATCGGTCGTATATAAATTAATCACAACCTTCTTAGTAATTGATCTGTTCGTCAGTCATGCGTTGTAAGTACTGTAGGAAAACACCCCCATGTTTACATTTTACAATCACTAATAACAATAAGGATTTTTATAGAGTACAAAAAAACAAAATAACAATGTTTATGCTTCATTGCATTTTTTCATAAACAAATGTAAGTATATAAATAACTCTCGTTTCACCTGTATACTGTCATCTGAAGATAGTAACTACATTCTTGTCTAATTGTGATTATTTTATCGACAAATACAAAAATGATTCAAGCTATATTCAACACTGGTGCTGGTCAAAATATGAATTTCTGCTGCCCTTCACTACCACCTATATGTATTCCTGTATGCTGTTATAGACAACAAATGATCTGCGATCCTTGTCTGGGACCACGTTGTATAACAGAATATTATCAAACAATGGTGCGAATACAATAATACTCAATTCCAATGTTTTACAATGAAAAAGACTATTTGTTATTAATTGTGACTAAATCGATCCGGACATAAGTTTTTTTTAGTTAAGAAAATTCAACTAATTGACGTACTAACTAACGATTAGTGGCGGAGCAAGAATTTCGGTCTAGGAGGAGCTGAGCTCCCCCTAATGCCTCTTGGTTCCGTCACTAGTCGTTCACTCTAATTGTCGTTCAAATTTTCTAGGGGGAGCTCGGGACATTCTAGAACGAGCTCAGCTCCCCCTAGCTGTCTCAGTGGTTACGCCACTACTAAGGATTGATTGTAGACTGTATTATAAAAAAATTAAAATAAACTTTTTATTTATTTCTGTAGTTATTTTTATAATATTTTGGTAATGCACATTATTTAATACTTCATCTTCATATATTCTTTTCTCAACAAGTCAAAATTCAATTATGCCCTCTGTGAACTATACACATAGTAATGATATTCAAATATTGATATAGATGAAATTTTTTTTTTCTTCTCGATATCATATTGATGAATAGATATGTGAAGAAAAACAAAATGATCTGAGATTGATCATAAATTAAAAATACATTCAAAAACAAATATCGATGAAGAAATCGTTTAAAAATAGAAATCATATATTAACACTATTATTCTTTTTTATCGACAATTAATGCGTCAGTGAAATAAGTAGGTGAAACAATAATATTTTTTATTATTTGTAATCATATAAAATATCATGGTCACAACTATATATGTTATCAGTCATTTGTTTATATTTTGTAATATTTTCTTCTTATTATTAGATACAGAGGTTTTCTATAATAATATTTTATTTTCATACATAAATTGCATAAATTTCAAAGCTTTATATCTAATTCTAACTTTAATGGTAGATAAAATCTATATTAAAAAAATATTTTTTTAAGGTAACGACAAAATCATTATAGTTGAATTTCTAGTATAATGAAGATATCAAAGACTGATATATATTATTGATATGCGAAACTAAATTTAAATACTTTTATCTTACATAACGATTAATTCTTTAAGAAAAATACTTCATGTCTCTGTAGACATGTAATATTGATCATCGCAAAAAGGTACTTCAAAGATATTTTCAAATACTATAATGAATAAAGTGAAATACAATTAAACAAAAATTGTTAAATCTAATCAAAGTTAGAGTCAAATAAATAAATGTAGTGCAGAATAGCAGATTTCTAAGTTATATTATAAAGGATTGAGTATTCACTTGAAAAATAAAGATTGATTTAATAATTTTAATAATCATTGTTGTCAAATTTTAAGAATAATAATACAAAATAAACATTTATAAAATACATAAAATAATAATATTCTATTCATTTCATATGAAAAAAAATGACTGATCCGTTAAATTAAAATGTTTATTTTCTAAAAAATATAATAAATATGTGTGTTAAGACAAAAAACAGTCGTACCACCACACTCAAATCCTTTAATAACAAATAAAGTTATTGGAGTTGAAAGAAATGGAAGAATGAAAAGACAAAGCAAAAGTTCCCGTTTACTCTTAGTCCATAGCTGCTTTTTTCAAACAAACTAACGATACAATTTTGAATTGAATAAAATAAACATCTATACGAAACTATCTTGACTACGTCACAAATTGTGTGACTTTCATCAGGGTTTCGTAAAATTCAAATTTTCGTTGCTGTTGACATAGTTACTATTGAAGTATATATAAAAATAACTCTACTAATAATAATTGTAAAATATACAGTTATATGTATGCTGCGAGAAAGAGATATTTGATAACGTTTCACATATAATTGAAACAAAAATAAAGTCAGTCTCTATATGAAAGAACAACGTAATCTTTTTCATACACATTCTTAGAACCTATCCTTTATAACATAAAAAGATTTCAATAGATTCCGAACTTCTATTGTAATCAATTTTGAGTCTTTTAATAATTAGCTAGATAATACGTCAAATATGATGGTATTAATAAAACAAATGTGAAATGTTCGGAGAGGCAGAATTTTTATTTCAACGTCGTATAATTCCTTTCATTCGTTATTTATATGACTTTTTGTCTTTAATATTTGATCGATTGAACATGTTTATATAGTTGGGTGTGGGTGTGAGGGTATATACTGTATCTGTTTTACACTCACATCCACACTTTTTATTAGCCTATCAAAATGAGGTAATGTATGAAAGTTTGATATAAAAATCGTATTCGTTTGACTATTATGCTTCTATGGATTCCTTTGGCGTTCACAGCATGTATTCTCTTCTCATTTGCATTAGAAATATTCTCAAGTTCTTATTTGAGTGTACTATTTTGATAAAAAACAATAGTTACTCATACTACTATACCTGAATCACATTTGCATACTAACGGCCGTTCTCTTCTCTGGCATCAATGTACTTTTTCAGTATATAATTTTGCACTTTGTTTTTTTCCTCACTCAAATAAGAAAAAAAAAAGAAAAAAAGAAAATCGACTATTTATTTACTCTGTGTGTACGATCGACCGAGGCACCTTCCATTATTGACGGCAAATATACGAAAATAAAAATAAGGTAAGCATTATATAAATGTACAATACATCATGTTAGATTTGAAATCATATTACTGAGTACTGAGAAGCATAATATTATAATAACATGTAGTATGACAATCTAAATATAATATATACGTATATACTTCGCTCTTCCACTAGTTGATACACTAATATTAATGACAGCAAAGATTTGTAACATAAAGTTAGTGTTGAATCAATATATCTGTTTTATATTTACTCGTCAACTCAGTATATCTACCTTAGTGTACACAAACACTTCTTTGAAAATCTATAAACATCTTAATAAATATTGTAACAACTTTTTGATAAACTGATTTTAGTAACACAACTACAATGAAAGCATCAAATAGATATAACACCAATGAGTATCACACTGAAATAGTTTCTGATACTTTCGACGACTTCCAACCACGGTACATTAGATCTGAACCAATACGAACAATAGCATATGATCGAGAGAATCAACATGAAGAGAGAAGAATTGATCAAACACATCAAAAGCCTGAACGGTGAATCTCTAACTTTCTTTTACTACTAACAGAATTAAATAACAAAACACTTGAACTCTGAGATGAAACTACGATGTAGAAAACTTAGTAAACGATCTATTGACCATGTCTGAACTTGATCGCATCTCATTTCTTGCAATAAATTTTCTTCTTTTTCTTTCAATTTTTGTAGGCGTTCTAAGTGTTGTTCAAAACAATGTCTGATTGGACTTGGTATTGGTTTATTAATTGGTATTATACTTATCGTTGCTATTGCAGTTCCCGTTGGTATTATTACCAGAAAATGTGGTTTGGGTAAGTGTAAACAAATGATAAAACTTCACTATAAAATATTCATATCAAAAAGTATTTGAGCGAGTTTCCTTATTTATCAAGATAAAGCACAAATGGATGATCGATAAGTTCACTGTTGTTAAAAAATATTTTCTCTTATTTGATTTATGTATCTATTCGTTTTTTTCTCTATTTCTTCTTAAATAGGAACAGTCTCTTCTACACCTAACTGGATAGGTACATATCAGATGGATAATGCATGTGATACAAGCATTTGTTGTTGTTATACTAATCAAGTGTTTTTTTCTCAAATAACTAGTAATCAACTACAAATTTCAGGTAGTGTTACCGGTGCATGTACTGGTTCTTCATCCACTGCTACACTGACACTATCAATGCCCTCAACCTTTCAAACACTTCTTATATGGTCTACAGAAACAATTCGTCTCCAATTAGGTCAAGATAATTCTTACATATCATTCGTGAATACCGCACGTGGATCTTGTAGTACTAGTGGAATGAGAACGTCATATAATACTGGTAGTATGACCAACATGAATATGTATTTGGTCGTATTTATTCTAATATTTACTACTGGCATAAGGATATGATAAAATACCAATAAAATTATTTGCCCCCACCGTAACAGTATGACTATTTTTCCTAATAGTTCAGTGTTTTTTCGATCTTTTGTGTGATTGTAACTCATTTTTTTCTAATTAAATCATTTCTGGTCTTCATATATTGATAGACTTAGATACAATTTTGTGAAATAAAACTATCAAAGAATTTCGCCATACAAATTTTTTCATTATGATTTTACATTTAAAGATTTGCGAATGAGCAGGATGTAGGTGTAATATTCACTCTCGCCATAAAAAGATAATTAGTGGAAGAATTCCAGAAAACTTAGTTGACTCGTCGAATTTTTTGATTCGGGTATATCTAATTGAACTTATCAATTGAAAGAAAAGAATCTATTTTTGTTTTCGTCGATTGGGAAACTTGTATATATTTATCTTTTATAGAATTTGATTAGAAATAGATGACGCTATCTATTAAGTGTAAAAAATTTATTTTAATTGGCTTCATATTCATATCCAATAGATTAAAGAAAGGAAAGCATTTCGATCTGTTTAATTAATTTTAATTTGCATTAATTGATAAAATAAATTATTTTCATGATAATTAAATTAATAATTATCGTTTATCATATCTGATAGTTTTTACAAAACGTTCATTAATTATTCAATCTGATTTTTATTTGGGTAAAAAAATGAAATTATTGAATGATAATAAACAATTTCAAAAGACTCTCGAATTATTTGATCAATATAAGAAAAACAAAAGTGAAACATTTTCAAGTATGATTATAACTGAAGCTTTAAAAGCATGTACTCATCTAAAAGATCTTCAACGCGCTGAAACTATTCATCATCTCATTTCATCACATATAGAAGATGATTCTTATATATCAACATCATTAATTCATTTATATAGTAAGTTTTGAGAGGAAAATTCTTTTCTTTTGTAAATTTATTTCTAATACAGTGCAATGTAATGATGTGCCACGTACCCAATCGATATTCGATAAGACAACAAATAAAACTTTAGCAATGTATGGTGCTATGATAAAAGGTCATCATTTTTATATTTATAATTATATTTAAAATCAAATCTTTTCATTTAAATTATACAAAAACTAATCAACCAAATAAAGCAATTGATATTTTCGATAAAATTAAAAAAACCTAATGAAATTATTCTAAGTCTTTTATTCAATGCCTGCGCTCAATTAAGAGCAAATAAAGAATCGAATTTAATCAAAAAGATTTTATTAAGATGCTTATCTATTAACTTCTCTATTAGATGCATTTATGAAGTGTGGTGATATTAAAAACGCTGAATTATTATTTAATAGAATATCAAAGAAAGTATTACCAACGTATGGAGCAATGATGAAAGGTAAACATGTTTGGATTGAAAAAATTTATTTAAATTAAATTTCTTTTCTTTAGGTTATATTGAAAGTAATCAACCAAATAAAGTAATTGATCTTTTCAATACTATACAAAACCCTAGTGAAGTTAATATAATTATTTCATTTAATGCTTGTGCTCAATTAGGAACTGAAAAAGTATTAAATTTAGTAAAAAAAAGTTTCAAAACAAATTCTAAAATCATTCTATTTAAATCCACGTCTTTTAACTTCTTTATTAGATGCATTAATGACATGTGGTGATATATCATATGCGGAATTATTATTTAATTCTTCAATAACAAAAGATTCAGAAATATATGGAGCAATGATGAAAGGTTACATTCATTTATTTATTTATTAAAAATCTTATTTGTTTTTTTTAAAGTTATATAAAAAATAATCAAGCAAATAAAACAATTGATCTTTTTAATAAAATTCCAAATGCTAATAATATTAATTATATTCTTCTATGTAATGCATGTGCTCAATTAGGATCAAATGAAGCGTTGAATTTAGTAAAAAAAAATTCTCAAAATATTCCACAATCATTTTATTCAAATCGTCGTCTTTTAACTTTTTTATTAGATGCATTAGTTAAATGTGATGATTTAGTATATGCTCAATCATTATTTGATACATCAATAAAGAAAGATTCAGGAATGTATGCAGTTTTAATGAATAGATATAATAAAGAAAATAATCCTAAGAAAACATTAGATTTATTTTCTCAAATGAAACTAAATGAAATTAAAGATAATTTAATTGTTTATATTTGTGTTATTAAAGCTTTATCTCAAATTAGTAATTATGAATTATCTCAATCGATAATAAAACAAATTTCAAAACATTTTCTTATTGATAATCATATTCAAATAGCATTAATTGATATGTGGGCAAGTTTATAAAGAACATTTCTTTTAATATGACATATTATTATTAAAACTCTTGTTTCAGGGTAAATGTGGATCGATTGATAAAGCAAAAGAAATTTTTGAAAATGTATCGCAATCAAATCAATTTGCATATGCATCAATGAGTTTATTTTTATTTTTAATTTTAATAAAAATAATTCATCACAAAAATCTAGTTAATACTTATGGTTTAAATGGGATGGGTATTCAAGCAATTGAACTATATCAACAAATTTCATCAGAATTAATTAATGAAATAACTCAAATTTGTATTTTAAATGCATGTTCAAATTCAGGACTTGTTCATGAAGCTCTTTCAATATTTGAAAATATTCAAGAGAAAACAACAAAAATTTATACTACAATGGTATATTAACAAAAATATTTGTTTTTTTTATTTTGAGGGTGTGGGTGTGGGTGTTGATTATATATTAATTATATACCCACACCCACACCCACACCCTCAATCTATTATTCTTCACTGTTTGTAGTGTGGTCATCAATAAGAAAAAGACATATTAATAGAGAACAACGAAATAAAAGATTATCTACTTATTTAACGTTTGTTTCACTGAATGATTATCAAATTTATTTTATTAACCAACGGACAGATACTAATTTATTACACGATTTGATTGAATTAGCAAAGAATACAAAACAGTTTACTATTGATACTGAATCAGACATTTATATATATCGGCCAGCTTTAATTCAAATTGAATTTATTCATAAAATATCTACAATTATTTTAATTGAAGTTTGCCATTTACCAAAGAATGAAAATTCACTTATATTATGGTTATGTCGCGTTATATTTACATACATGTTTCAAAAAGGAAATATCATTTATTCCTGGGAGATCTCAATGATGAACTAAAGAGATTTGCTCCATGTCGGCTTTTTGCATTCAGTCAATTAGAAAAACCAATTAGAATTAATTTACAAGATAAATTTCGTGAATGGCATTGTGGTCTTGTTTGTTTTAATGAGTATGGAGGCCAAAAATTATGGGCTTTACAGTGTGCTATTGCTTCAACATATCAACAATTCTTAAATAAAGATCAAACATTAAATATCTGGAGTTGTGGTCTTGATCTATCAATCAGTAACAACAGTTCCAATGGTAAAATTTTATCTATGGTTCAATATGCTGTCAACGACTGTTTGTCAGTAACAAAATTAGCTTACAATATGGGCGAAGATGTTTTAAGTATACATATTTGATCATTGTAATTTATACATCTTATTCTCTTTTCTTTTTATTTTAGTTGAATAATTCATTTAACAAGAGCAGTATGATCGACTCGGCTGTTTTTTTATGCTTCTTTATTTTTTTCTTATTCTTTTCTTTAGTTTTAAATCTTTTTAAACATACTTATTTATCATTTGATTGATTTATTTTGAATTTTTGTAGTCTTTTTCTAAATTGTTTATAATATATTACTAGTACAATTACAATCAAAACTATGAAAAAGATACTAAATTAAGAATATATCATTAAAAAGTGTTCTCATATGTATTTACTTTGATCAAGGACCAACAAAGTTGATTGAAAGCCATACCATATCTTATTTGATCAATTATGGTTGAAGGGTGTGAAATGAAGTGATCATAAAGAAATTCTAATTATAAAAATACCCAATTTAATTTATTTCTAAATGAAACAAAAGATTTCTTTTATCAAAACTATAATTTTAAAACTAAACAAAAGATAAATTCTTCTCAAAATGATAACCATTTGTCATATACATCTATATAGGGTGTGGGTGTGATTGGTTGAAAAACAGACATCCACCCACACCCTTAGAAAGAATCGTTTGTGCTTGTCTTATTATATCTATACGCACGTCTTATTTGCGCATACAGATGCAATAGAAAGAAAGAAAAGTAATTTTCTTATCTCTTCTTCTTACTTTATCAAGCACAATGAGTATACTTGAATATGTTTGATAAACTTACTGGTGTCTTAATTCTTTCATATACTTCTACAAAGAGGTTGTGAAACTTTTTTCTTATACTTTTGCGTAAACTGAATTATTACAATACCTGTGGATTTGGGTCACAAATAAGTGAGTAACGATCAGTAGAACTTATGAAAATTGATTTGTGTCTATTTGGAAAAAGCATGCACTCCATCATTTTTGAATAACGTTGCGTAGAAAGTACGTAAGATCTTCATTTTTTCATCATTCGGCAGCGAAGATATAGAAGTATCTCTCGGGGTAAGCAGATCTATACCTGAAACTATCATTAAACTTCGATACCCACTTCATACAAATATCTAAGATACTTTGATAGTCTAAAATAGCTTAAGTTGTGAGTATAAAATTTTTTAAGTTGTACCCATTAGTTTCAGAAACTTATTCTCTGAAGTATCGAAATGGTGTGACTATCCTTTTATGAGGATCTTGACGAGATTAAATATAAAAGAAAACAAATGTTTTGAGATTAGAAAAGTCGGAATTCTATATTTTTGCGTTGTAAAATATCTGAAGATTTCCTGCTGTGTTCACTGATGTAGTTCGAAAATGAATTCTGTTTAGAATGTAGTCAGTAAAAGAATGGATTTTGTCAAGTACGATGTATGACTCTTTTATTATAGTATTCCAGCGAAATCAACTATGTCAAGTCCGTCGAATATAGTGCGTATTCTTGTTATTGGATGTGGAAATATGGGTGCAGCGCACGCCACGGCTTATTCGCTGCTTCCTGAAGTCCAAATTTGTGGTTTGGTCTCTACTGGGAAAAGCAAAGACGTACTCAATGAGAAGTTAGGCGGTGACTATGCTCTGTTCGACGATGTCAATACTGCATTGATCAGTACCAAGCCAGATGCCGTTTGTATTTCTACGTATCCTGACACGCATGAAACCTTTGCTATTATGGCTTTTGAACATGGTTGTCATGTGTTTATTGAAAAGCCTCTTGCTGATACAGTAGAGGGTGCCAAGCGAGTAGTGGAAGCTGCCGAAAAAGCTGGAAAAAAATTAGTAGTGGGCTACATCCTGCGTCACCATCCTTCGTGGAAAAAATTTGTGGAATTGGCTCAAGAATTAGGTAAACCGTTAGTGATGCGAATGAATTTGAATCAACAAAGTCATGGAAACATGTGGGCTGTTCATAAAAACTTAATGAAAAGTCTTAGTCCCATTGTCGATTGTGGAGTGCATTACATAGACATAATGTGCCAGATGACTCGTTCAAAGCCTGTTCAAGTTAATGCTATTGGGGCACGGCTAACTGATGATATACCGACGCACCATTATAACTATGGTCAGTTGCAAATTCGATTCGCGGATGGGTCGGTAGGCTGGTACGAAGCTGGATGGGGTCCAATGATGAGCGAAACCGCTTTCTTTGTGAAAGACGTAATTGGACCGAAAGGTTCTGTATCCATCGTCGCCAAGACATCAGTTGCCAATGGAAAATCGGACAATGTAGATCTACATACCAACGCTGAATGTCTACGAGTACACCATGCTGCACTCAATGATGTTAATCAGTTCATACAGAACGATACTTGGATTGATATGCAGGACGAGCCGAATCATCAAGAGCTGTGCAGTCGCGAACAACAATATTTTCTCAAGGCTATCCATGAAGATCTCGATTTGACAGACCACCTGCAAGATGCCGTCAACAGCTTACGGATTGCTTTTGCCTGTGATCAGTCGGTGCGAAGTGGATTACCAGTTTATTTGGAGTGATTCTTCTTTGAAAGCTTTAATTAGAAAAACTCTGACTAATAAATTACAAAAGATCGGATAAAACCAGTCAATGTTATTGAGGGTGTGGTTGTGTCATACACATCCATCCTAATTTAACGATGCTTTTCCATTTCATGTAATAATGACACTGATATAAGTGAGCAGAATAGTTAATGATAACATTATTATTGCGAGACATTTGTCTAACTGAAATTCAATGAATTTGATTATCTCCCTTCTCTTCACATGAAAAGTGTTAGGTTCATTAGAAACACGTTTAGAAGGCGTAATAATAAACATTATTAAAATAAAGTTACCGATTAGATTTTGATGATATTTGAGGGTGTGGGTGTCAGGTAATACAGTTTTCATACGCGCACCCACACCCACACCCTGATTTCATATTACATAAATTCTCGAACAGGTCCAACAAATTAATAAATCAATACATACATTAAAAGTTAAAAAATGAATCGATGTATGAAAACGACGAACAAAACAAAGTGATATTGCATATAAACATGCTCCAATTGAAATTAAATTAAATACATTCATTTGAATTATAATGAAAATAGTTAATCTACTTTTCGTCTATTATACTTTTTGGCAATTTCGAAAAAAAAACAAATTTAGTTATTAATATTTATTTTAAATTTTTTCTTTTTTATTGAACTGATAGACATTGCATAAACTCTGATTCCAATCATTCCGTAGTATTTGATATTTCAGATGAGTAACAAAAGGAAAAATCTTCATCGATTATCGTTCGACTATAACCAAAGCTGACAGTGATGTATGAAGCGATTTCTATATTTAAAAAAAATGGACGGAGCAAAAAGGTGAAAAGAACTTCTGTGTCTATTTTTATTTCTAATTATACAGCAATTAAAATACTGACTATGATTCATTACAAATCTACTTTGAACATTTTTAATTATAGAATATTTATATAATAAAAAGGTTAATGTGTATGACTACTAGCGTTCGTTAAGATTATTATTGTAAAATTAATTACTTAAAATTATTTCAGTGTCTGGATACTGTTCATCTTTGTCGAACCCCTTTTGGGGTTTAATCAGTTACTTTATACTTATATACGGGGATTATCAGGCTATTTTTTCAATCATTATTAATTAAGTTCGTTCATTTTATCTTTCCAATAATGAAACATCTAATTTATCTGAACTATTGTCATTCTGAGAGTTTTACTTTTAACAAATTTAGTCATTTTACAATCACGTTCATCTAGTAACAGTCCTTCGGAAAAAAATAGACAACTGAGTACCAAATTAACAAAATAGTTTAAAAATTATTGAAATTAGTACAAAATGTCGAAACAAGAAAATGAATTTTTAAATGTTGTTAAAACACGTAACTAATCTATAGAAACAGTTAAACAGCATGGTGTGCCGATATTGTCACTCTTTCTTCATTCAAACCCTCAAAATGTTCTTTTTCTTTTGATTTTCTTTCTTTTGTTCTACTCGTTTATATAAGATATATTGAGAAACTCGTGAGTGTGTATCCTTGTTAATATCTTCTGATAGCCAGATTACGACACTATCGTCTATGACTTCATACTGAAGGAACCGAATCAAATATTCACTTTTACTTGTTATACTGAAGAGTTTCAAACTTTATTTTATGTTGTAAATCTTGGTACGTTTTAGTCTTGTCAGAATCTGAACTTTTATGTTTGGTGCAAATGCTAAAAAAGCTTCTTTACTTTTTCATATCCGCACCAGCTGTATCCTCAATATCATTTTAATATCGCTAACAAATAGTTTTACATTTACTTTTTATATTGTTTCATAATTGGATTTTTTTCATTTATATTTTGCTAAAAGCCCTAAGCTGATTATGATAATGCACTTTTTATATAAGGACTTTGCCACTACATTATCAGTCAGTCGACACATTACTGACGTAAGGTGTTTCAATGTAATACTGTGACGATATTAATCTCACCTTTTACTGTTCGCTCTCTTCTCTCTCTCTCATTCTCTTTCCTATATAAGCGTTTGTTACGTTGTGAAATAGATACATTCTGGACATTCTCTAATGAATATTGCTGTTTTTTCTTCTAGATAAATCCAACATAATGTCTTCAGAGTCTAGTTTTATCGCATCGTTATCAATAGCTCAAACAAGTTTATACATGTATGGTGGACCAATTTTAATGGCTTTGGGTATTGTGAGTTGCACACTCAGTTTAAATGTTTTCACTCAAAAGAATCTACGAAAAAATTCGTGTTCAATCTATTTAATAGCATATAATACTTCTAATCTTCTATTAATCTTTACTTCAATACTAGTGACAATATTGGCGACTGGTTATTTCATAGATCCTGGCTCATATAATCTGATCATTTGTCGTATTCGTTATTATACAATGTATCTATTCGATGTACTAGGTCCATCTTATTTATTATTAGCTTCTATTGATCGAATATTACTTACGTCATCTAATGCTCGAACAAGACAACGCAGTACTTGTCGTTCTGCCTATATATGTATCATTATTATGACATTATTTTGGGTACTAGCTCACAGTCATTCATTAGTTTTCACAAACATATTACAACTTGCACCGGGTGTTGTTCTTTGCTATTTTCAGCCAGGCATCTATTTAACATTAGTAAGTTATTATTCACTCATAATCAAGGGAATTCTCTTTCCTTTATTGATGCTCGG